AATTAGGTTCAATTAAATCAAGTACACGGTATGGGTTTTGTTAGAATTGCATTAGTTACATGCAGAACTGATAATCACGATAAGTAATAATGTTGAATCTAAGTTTGTAATCCCCATGATTTCTTGTTTTATTGATTTTCCTTAAGACTTCGACGATTGCCATTAAAAAACTGTTAAAGGTAAATCCTCCGCTAACGCCGGTCACCGGTGACCCCCATGGCGTTTAACGTGTTAACATTTGTTTTAAACTAGATACTATTAGATCAGCAGCAACATAACTTTACTGTAGTTTTTACGAGAATCATAGTCGACTTCAATGTGACAAACATGAATGATTTTTGTCATTCACAGTAAGTGTGCCAATATGACATGTTTGATGAAAGCAAAGAGTGAGTTGCCAATGTTCCTACTTCCCTTCACCGAAACAAAACACGAATCTTATTACAGAATAAACCATTGTTATTGTTTTTGTTGAATTTTAATGCAATAGATTATCAATTCTGTATGTAACTTTCTTTAGCAAATTAATTATCGTTGCCACAACTGAATTTTTCGCACCTTTATCGTTGTAATTATATCGATAGTATGTTGTTTTGTGTATTTAATTGTTTGCAAATAGGGTATAACGATGATTGTGTTTATTTTTACCTAGAATTGAAATGATTTATGTACCTACTCATATTTTTTACACAAATGATGAATTTCTTCTTTTAGGAGTAGGTAAATGCACTATTCGTTTTTTAAATCAACATTTTCTTACAAATATATTTTGGTTGTTCACCATCTCGCTCAACACGTAATTCTGTACTTCATTTCAACACGTAGGTTCTTTTTAATAGGTTGGTATTGTCATTAGCAGTACTGGTTGGTGGGAGCGTGTGACATTACCACCAAAACCAGAGGTGTGAGAAATTGTCCCACACAAATGATCCTTCTAATCGCTCATCTACTAAAGCAATGAGATTAACCTCCACCGGTATTCGCATACAAAACTATAAGTAATTAGCTTTTGTGCACGAAAACAATACTATAATAGTTTTATTGTCTTCAAATTTGGTCCGATGACCTGTTAAATTAAGGTTTACACAATTGTACGGTTTAAGCTTATCATTGACATTGTCTCTTAACTTAGATTTTAATTAGATTTAATTAACTGGCAAATTGTTACAACTTATTCTATGCTTCGCAGTAATTGGAGACCTTTATGCTCCTTATGCTTAATTAGAATTGTATTCTATAGGCGAGTATGAGTGATAATTAGATTAAATTGATATCTGATTTAGTTTAATTAATATATTTATGTTAAGGCTTGGGATTGTAGAGCAATTAATAAAGATACGTTTAAATAAAATAGTACAATCTAGATTACTTACGAAGGCTACCTTTTAGGATGATATTCGTAAGAGATTTTAATATTTATCAATAAAGTATAGAGGTACTTTTTCTATATAAGTTATTTAAATAATGAACAATGCATAACTAGGCAAATATTCAAGTATGTAGGTAACAGATCCTAAGATTTATGATACGGTAACAGATTATGCATTTATTAATGTATGTATTACCTGTTTGTTTGTAACGATCCAGTTATTCATCCATCTTTGACATAATAATCTATAGTTATCGAAGAATTTTAAGTACTTATTTGATATTGGAAAAGCCTAATGTACACTAATGATGCTAACCTCGAAATTCGGTAGTTCAAAGTAATGAATGATTGATGATGATGACACTGTGTTTTAGCGAAAAAACTGGAATGGAGCATTAAAAATCATTGTATTATGAACGTGATTAATTCACGTTTTTTGTATGAATTAATTAAAGTACTAATATTTTTAAATTACTTAAAAAAAAAACGTTGATGAAAGCTTCAAATTAACAATTCAATTGTGTTTAGTTATTGATTGATTACACATAACATTACGCTTTTTATCCCCGATAGGGTAGGCAGAGGTATACATTATGCCACTGTACAATGTACCTCTAACACCCACTTTTCACTATTTATGTTATGAGTCCCATGTAATAGGGGGTGAGCCTATTGCCATATACCGGGCACAATTCCAGACTCCGTGCTACTACTGAGATTTTTTTAAACCCTGTTATACTTTGCCCGACCCGGAATGATGATTGATTACATTATCCTCATTTAAAAATAATTTGTAAATGGATTTTAATATTTTTCATTTCTAGAAAGATTTGTATTGTAATAATATATCACAACATTTTTTGTCAATCTTTACAAGATAAAATAGAACGATTCACATAAAAACCTTTACACTTATTACCTTATATCCTAGCACAATAATAACTTTTAATAAAACCTTTTTATAGGTTCATGACAAATTAAATAACCCCACGTGTGAATGGACAAATTGTCTTTATGAATACTTAGAAACTAGTTCCGATATAATGTGGGCTATAAAACGGCTATAAAAAGCCCATGAAAGTTGAACTATACATTTATTATACGGAAATAAACATGTCGTAGGGCCATTACTCCATTACTGTTTCATAAGCTGTGTGTGAGGTTGAATGGTGGTATCTACATTTTAACGACTCATTTTACACTTTATAGAAATTAAGTTGTAACTGCATAAAGGCGATATGCACGATCCTGTCATATTGCGGATATTGTAGTTTAAATGACTTTGTGAAAATTTGATATTTTGCTAATTAACAAGAGCCATTAATCAGCGAAGCCAAAAGTAGAACTTAAGCGTATTTACTCTTATAATATTGTTTTTACCTTACCTTATTAGTTTCATAATAAAAACCAAGTTTTGAGCAAAATTCATATTCTTCACTGAGTACCTAATGCCCTAATGATGGACTCGCCAATAATCTTAATAACATGCAAGCTATGTAAAATAAAATATTATAAGTAGTTACAAATAGAAGTTAATATAAAATAACTTATTTTATTACAAAAGATAAGAATATTCTTGTTCTATGTTTAAGGAAAAACTAATAAAATCTATACATTCTAAGAGTATATTTCTTAAAATTATCTCGTTTAGGTAAATCTTATGAGCAAACCAGTGGCTAAATGTGTAAATGTTACCGACTAACGAACGCACGTAGGTATATTGACTCTTCATGTTTCGTATGTAAGTGTGTTGGTATGTCAAAGCAGTTAATAAGTTCCAAGTTTAAATAAAATTGTAAAATGCCAAGCGCAGTGGCATCTTCGTGGCGCGGGCGCAATTTGCAATGCATTTGACATAAAGCGTGCGTACCATTTAAGTGTTGGGTTGGCCATCGTTTTACGAGACTCTTGATACTTATTCTATTGTACGTTGAACGAGATAATGTTACGACCAGGGGACGGACTATGAGACACACACGAGATGTCTCGATAAACTTTATGATATGATAATATTCTCTGGATAACTACTGTTGAATACATCATTTACCTAGGATAAACGCAGTCAATGTAATGCCAAAGTTAGAATGAAATGCATGGTTATTCATAGACAGTATGAAAGGTAGATCAAATTGTTTTATGTGCACAAGAATCTGTTAATCAAGCCATATTTAGTCCCAGAGGACAAAAATCTCCCGTTTCTGACAAATTTCAATAAAAATTTACTTCATCGTGTAGTGAGGTTACCATAGGTCCAATTACCCCCTTCCCAATTCCTGAATCTCCAAACAATACTCAAATTCCTAATAGGCCTGTAACGCACTTGTTATGCCTCTGGTGTTTCGGGTGTTCATGAGCGGCGCCGAATTCTTACCATCAGGTCATCCGTCTCATCTACTCGTCTTGCTTGTTATCGCTCGCTTATCCCATAAAAAACCAAAATATTTTTGTGATAATCATTTTTGCCCTAAGTTTTCAACTAGTTATCAATACATTGGCTAACAAAGTTGGCTAAAGCCATAAAGATTGATTTCATGGGCACAAAGGTTAAACATACATTTCTTATCAATTTTATTACTAATCTTATACCTTTTATTGCCATTAAATTTATAATCACGCCTATTAACAGCACTCAAATGGATCAATAAAATAGTCTATAAAACTGAGTTCGTAAACTGGCCCTTAATAAAGGAACGAATTAGGCTTTAATGAATATTTATTTAAATACAATTTGATTGTAAAGAACACAATAAAATCAATGCCAATGAAGAATTTATAACTTATTTAAACAAAGTGGACGTTTCAGTCGTAAATTTGGAATTTATGACCATTATGTGTATATAATTTAGTGCACTAATAACATTTTAATAAAATTATAGTAACTTCTAACTTACCAAAATTGAGTAAACAATAATAAAATTGACAACTATGCGTCGCAAAGCAGCAGGGTGTAATAATAAACTTTAAATCGTAAATGGATTTACATTAATATATTATCAAATAATTATCAATGCACTAATTAAGTCGTAAAACTTAGTTTTTATAGACGAAACGAATAAAAAGCCACTTAAAATTTGTAATAATGTTTATGTTAATTTTGTTAATAATATTATTTTTTGATGACTGTGTTGTTATTAAGTAAGTTAGACATTTTTCATAGTTATTGGTTACAATTATATACGACTATGTATAACATTTTTAACATACTGTATATAACATTTTTATTTTGCTCTATCGAATTAGACTAAATAAAAATGTTAAATATTTGTATTAATACTAAATGTTTTAAATAACCCACCTTAATAGAATCAGTATTGTAAAATACTGTCGTAACGCGACTACACAATATTGATACGTCTCGTATAATTTGCCGTCACAAACAGACTTTTAATTGAAACTGAAAACGTAAATTTCAGGTCATACCTAAATATTTCTATGAAACTTTATACTTTCGTATAATCTCAAAGATATTTGTTAAGGTTTCTGTCATTGTACATAATATTTTTTGTTGTTGCTAACATCGTAGGCCTAAGTACCTCCCTGTGTTGCACAGAGTGCAGGCTCCCCCGGCCACATGCAATGGCTAGACAAATCCGCGTCTCTATATAAGGGACAGGTGATTAGACGAGTAAGTACAATCGGGCGCACACGCCGCGAACTAAACCACATGGGATATAATCATTGCTCATCCTGAATTATCAAGTGCTTCATACAATATCATAATGGTGAGTTTTATATGTATTTTGTTTGGAAAATAGATTTTTATTACAATAGGATAAGGGCTAGGGATTATTTTTCTGTTCATTTAAAAGTTATATTTTACTATTTTTAAAAACTTTTCCTTGCATTATTTGCATTAATGCAATTTATAATTAGAATCATCAGTGATAGTTAAGCATCTGTGTTCTTCAATAAAGTCTTTGGTTTAATTTTCTTCAGATACCTATTGACGAGTTATTTAATTAAATTAGTTTTTTTGTCAGTGTTACAAAAATATAGTTATTAAAGGTATAGATAGCTTGTATAGATTCCTGGCCTATTTTTTATCTAAGTATAAGGGGGTTCCTTGTGGTTATGTAGTATGTGTGTGGTTGTTTTGTTTGATTATGATAGCTTATTAATAATATTGTTTCTCACCATCTCTCACTATTAAAATGATCATCAATGGAAATGTTTAGCTTTTTTAAATGGATTTGACACTCCCTTTAGACGTAAAAACAAGAAAACTAGTAAGTAAATAGTAAACTCCAAAAGACTTTACTCTTTATGGACTCTAAAAGCGCTAGAAACCATTTAAGAAATACTTAAATGGACTTAAATGATTCTATAAATTATATCCCATGCTGGGACGTGAACTCCTGACCCTTGAAGGATGTTGCATCTTTAGCATTTAGGCGCAGAAGGCCATCTCTTACCATAAGCAAGTACAACCATGATATTTTTGATCAGATCTTATTAGAAAGTAGACAATTTATGTTAATAATATTACAAACGCTCAAGGGCTTTAATTTATAATAGTATTATTTTTAATAATAGCCTAATAAATTGTATTATTGATTTGGATGGATATAAATTAATGATATTTGTATTTTATTTAAATATTTCCGTAGGAATTGTTTTTAAAAAGTATTTACTGCCTCGTTGGCCGAGTGGTCGCAAGTGGGACTGCCGGCCAAGGGTCTCGGGTTCGATTCCCGGGTCGGGCAAAGTATTACTAGGTTTTTATAAAAAAAATCTCAGTAGCAGCACAGAGTCTGGAATTAGGCAATAGGCTCACCGCCTATTACATGGAACTCATAACATAAATAGTGAAAAATGGGTGTTACAGTGTACAGTGGTATAATGTCTACCTCTGCCTACCCCTTCGGGGATAAAAGGTGTGTTGTTATGTTATGTTAATAAGTATTTATTTATAAATAAAATTTAGCGTGATGGTAACTATGCGTATGTAGTTGCGGCTAATATTTAAAAAAAAAAGATTTTTTTATTTCGGGCAAAGTATTACTAGGTTTTTATAAAAAAATCTCAGTAGTAGCACGCAGTCTGGAAATGTGCCCGGTATATGGCAATAGGCTCACCCCCTATTACATGGGACTCATAACATAAATTGTGAAAAGTGGGTATTACATTGTACAGTGGCAATAAGTGCCGTAATGTGCACCTCTGCCTACCCTTTCGAGGATAAAAAGGCGTGATGTTATTTTAAAAACCATAGGTACTAACCCCAAAAATAAGTAATTTAGTTAAAGACATTATTTCTAAAAAGGAAACCTAAATTCTAAACTAGTTAATGACTGATAATTAGGCAGATACCTAATTCCTAATCTCATAGAACTGCTCAATCATTATCGAGACATCTTCTTATTAATCTCGTTTTTAAGGACGTGACCATAGTGGGTGCATAGGGCGTAAGTTCACTTGGCGTCTTATGCAATGCATCGTGCATTTATTGCATCCACAATACATAACCTTTGCAACCACTGTGCTGTTTACCTCAGTGACAAGCGTGCCATCGTTTCATGCAGATTTATTATAAGGGACCTGAATGGCGCGTTTATTTATCAATTACTTGTGAGATATGATTTATGAAACATTCTACAAATAATTTTCTTTGGTAGATCGGTAGATGTTTTTGTGTCCTATTATTTTATTTTTTTACGGAATAAGCCGGTAAACGAGCAGACGGAATCACCTGATGGTAAGCAAACGGCGTCGCCCATGAACACCTGGAACATCAGAGGCGTTACAAGTGCGTTGTCGACCTTTTGGAGATTGGGAGTTTGAGGATCGTTGGGGATTCAGGAAATGGGGATATTGGGGAAAGGGAGGGTAATTGGGCCTCCGGTAACCTCACTCATACGACGAAACACAACGCAAGCGTTGCTTCACGTCGGTTTTCTATGAGGCTGTTTTGATTTCATCTAATATCCAATATCTATGCTTTTTACTTTTGTCTTTAAAATAGTATTAATTAAAAAGTGTCGATTTAATTAAATACTAAAGTATCTATTATTGAAATTTGTAGGTAATTGTGAAAAGTCATAATGCAATTAGTTTTAAAACTTTGGCTAATAATAATTGTGATACAAAACTATAATACATTATATAATGTATTGTAGTTGTATCGTTTCCTATCGTAACTTTCTAACATTGTGATTTGTGAAAATTATTTCCATACCACACAATTATAGGTAGTTCAAATTTTACTCTCGCTTAGAGGTAACGTTATCCTGAAGGTCAAACATTATAATTCAATTGTTTAAAATTATTGAATCATCGACAGAACATCCGTTTTATTTGAATAATGTTTTTTAAATCACCATTATTAATAAAATAAAATTGACAATTAAATCAATAAGTCACGTGAATTATTTTAAACAATAATATGTAGGCATGGCATATATGACTAATAATATTACATATGTATATTGAAGGATATTTTGTATAATAAGATAGAGAATAGGATATGCCTTGACAAGGTCATTCGGTCAGGTCACATAGCTATAGTGACATCTTTATTTTAAAATATATCTATGATGAGAGGTACAAATATTTAAGATTAATTTATATAAATCTAATGTTTTTTTTATAATCTATGAATTAATTATTTAAAATTTGCACGGTTTGAGTTTTTCCTGAGTATTAAATGTCACAAAATAGGAAAATACCTAATTTATACACTAAAAATAATTAAATATTCTACTTTACTTTATGAAATTGCAATTTAATTAATTAAGAGTCATTTTACTTTATACATTTATACTTAGTTTTACGTGTTTATAAAATCACAACCATAAATTCTCAGTAGTAGCAGGAAGTCTGGAAATGTGCCCGGTATATTGCAATAGGCTCACCCCCTATTACATGGGACTCATAACATAAATCGTGAAAAGTGGCCATTAAGTGCCTCAATGTGCACCTCTGCCTATACCTTCGGGGATAAAAAGTGTGAGATGTTATGCTTACAATCATCAATTATTTTCTTCCATTTTTACCAAATTTTAAATTTAAAGATTTATTTTATGTAAACCAAAAAATGTAGTTGAGTCCGCACCTGGACTAGCACGGAGGCGTGCCAGCAGTTAATTAGGTGCGCACCTTTTGTTTTTACACATAGTACATTGTTTTCGCGGTAACTCTCGAATTCTATGACATGTTCCCACAACTCAATACACTTGCAAAATAGCTGGTGTGCCGACATCTGCATACCACACCATCCGCAACTATTTAGGCGCTATGAATAGTTTGTGGGTGACACACGGTGACTTGAAAATCTATTGTTGTACCCACGGTAACGTACCCGTATCTAAGTGGTTAGTTTGTGATACATCTGTGTGTGTTATGTATGACAATATAAACACTAGGTCATGTATGAGTGACCTGAAGTTTGTAATGCAGAGCGAAAATAGAATAAACTAATTATAAGATAGTTTTTATTTAACTAAATCGCGGGTTACTCACGTGAATATACTGAGAAAAGCTCTAGGTACTAGTTTCGAACCACAGAGGGCTCTTCCTCATGAGCAGCGCAGCTCAGTATATTCACGTGACTAACCTGCGATTTTAGTTAATTTTGTATGTCTCATGGTAGTTATTATAAAAACATAGTTTTGATTTGTTTAAATTATTTCGAAAATATCTTTAAGAACGTTATCTTTAAGAATGTTATATATCTTTAAGAATGTTTTTGAAGCATAGATAATAAATACTTACAAAATTTAAAAGAAACTATCATTATCATTAATAAAAAAAAATGTCATTAATGAAAAAATATTTTTCACAAAATTTCTTAATAACGGACTACGTTTTTAAAAACTTCAATTGTAAAGTTAATAAGTCTGTGTAGTTCATAGATTTACCACCTGCATTATCCGACACATTCGTCATTACTCATTAACATAAATAATTTAATGTCCCAAATACGCTTATATCGTAGGTCGTCTAAACTTTGACAAGTGTTTAAATACTTACCTGCATAGCTTACCTTATTCGTGAAGCAATGTCTATTCCTCTTCACATTAATTTGCATCAAGGTAAAACATCTATAAGTAGGTACCTTATTATGATAACAATAATAATTAATGTTGAATAAACGAAGGATTTATGTCAGGATACATTGGCATTTCGTAATCTTTTATTTCTAAGGTGTGTTGCGGGTATCCGCGGGGACGCTCATCGCTTACCTTCAGGTGATCGTTTGCCTCCTATTCCATAAAAAAAACTTACTAAAACCACTCTATTCGACCATTCCAATTCCTACCCTGTGCCAGAGCCACGGTTTTCTATAGTCTTAGCAAACTAAGCAAACTATAGTGAAGAGAAGCTTTAAATATTTATGAACTGTTTTGTTGCTGAAGAAGTTCTTTTAACTAGAATAAAGAAAAAAAGCAGTGTTTACACAATGACAAACATATTTTACTAATCGACGTGGTTAAGTTTGAAGTTGATATCGATTATTAATCAGACTTAGCTAATGGTCCGTGAAGCGTAGCAACCTTCGTAACTCGAGCTCCCATCGGTAATCGACACCTAATACTAGATCATGTCATAGGTCAGTATCAAGTACCTACCCATGATACTGACCTGACTCTGTCAGTATTTTCTATTCTTATCATCTAAAATAAATAAATATAAAAAAAATATTATTCATTTACGCCTGAGATTAGTACCTATATTGAAAACTAGCGAATAAGACTATTAAGAGGCTTTTATTAAGAATAATTCGTTTATAAAGTTAAGCAAGGAAGTTTAATCCTCTAAAGTTAAATCAACTTATAAATTAGTAGCGACGCGCCCCAGCTTCGCACGGGTGCAATATGCATGTACCTCTATTATACATATAAAACTTCCTTAAGAATCACTCTATCTATTAAAAAAAACGCATCAAAATCCGCGGCGTAGTTTAAAGAGCTAAGCATACATAAGGACAGACAGATGGCGGATAGCGACTTTGTTTTAAACTAATATGTAGTGATAAATTAGAACTAAAAAATATTTCAACGACATTGATTGTCCATCTCCATGTTCATCATCATCATCTTCAATCGAAAGATGTCGAAATAATTGCCACTTAATTCACTACGAAGAAGGACCTCGTTTCCATCACAATAATAAAATAATGTAGATAGTCGAAGTCAAAGTCAAAATAATTTATTTCAATTAGACCAAGAAGGCACTTTTGAAAAAACAAAATGTTGAAATATTAAAAGAAAATGTGTTTGTCGGTCAGTCATCTAGTGAAGCTATTTGCTCTTTCCAAAGTGTAGTGCCGCAATAAGACTATTGTGGATATAGTGTAGTTGATAATATAGTTAGACAATTATATATTTACAAAACATTCAACGATTTTACTCTTATCAAAGAACACTAATACAGCTGAAGTTATATTAGTGGCTAATTATCCTGTCGACATAAAGGTTAATTGAAACGGGTTGGTAAATGGTGCATATAAACGTAAATTGTGTTTACCTACAGAGGGTCAAAAGTCGTGTACAACCTATTTATATTGCTAATAAATAAAGTGAAGATGCAGAAGGCAAATGAGAGGAAAATGTCAGCTGGAAAACAACTATGTCCTTCTAACCATTAGGTAAACATGTTTCGTGTGTGATAGATATATCATACAATAGTATCAGTTCGTTGGGTCTTCAGGGTTTTCATTTTATCGCTACAAAATTAATTAAGAACGTTAATTTTATATTGATGAAATGTTTTGTTTTTAGTTTTTCATTTAAACTTTTCTTGAGTAGTTACTCTTTCATTTATAAATTACCGATCTATGTATTTCTTAGTTTGTGCAATCAATACATAGTATAAAACAAAGTCGCTTTCGCTGTATGTCCGTATGTATGCTTAGATCTTTAAAACTACGCAACGGATTTTGATGCGGTTTTTTTTAATAGATAGAGTGATTCTTAAGGAAGGTTTGTATGTATATACATATTGCACCCGTGCGAAGCTGGGGCGGGTCGCTAGTATTATGATAAAATCAATTTCATGTTACTTAAGTAAGAAAAACATCTACAAGTGGTAACTGATTTACGTCCAAATACTCACATGACACTCAAATTTTAAGTCGCGCTTAATTATAGTTCTGTCACTATAAATTCTTTGTACAATGACAGAGATGGCACGATATTTAAGTACAACTTAAACTTGAGTAGCCTTTTAGTACATACATACATACATTACTTCACGCCTGTCTCCCATGGGGGTAGGCAGAGACTATGGAACGCCAATTACTACGATTCCTACCTCTTTCGCTTCATCATCGGCCATCAATCTTTTCATGACTGCTCGCCTTTTAGTATTTGGGCGATATCAATCCAGATTAATTATGACCGTAGATATTGTACGACACTTTCCTTCATCTTTAGATTTCAGTGATATAGGCACGATTCTTCTATAAATATAATGTTAAATATCATTCACAATAATCGATGCACATACATTGACACCGATTTGACCATAGTTCAAAGTATTTGTAAGACTGGTAATACATAGTTGTGTAAGCAATAATCTTCACATATGCATCTATACCTTTGACACGAGAAGGTTCCTTGTAAATAATATATTTTATAAAGTTATACCTACATAGATAAGTTCAACTTTTTAACTAAACTTGTTGAGTATGAGAATAATTTTGTTTAAACAGGATCATGAACATAGCATTTTTTTTTATTTGTCTATGTTGAAAATATTATTTAAACGGACAAATTATAATGCTTTCGAACTCCTGCTTTGTAGGACAACATTTTGTATTTTTACAAACTAAAATATAGTCTAGAACTTAATAGTCAATCCACTAACGAATTTTTACCACATATCTGATGTCTATCAAGGAAGCGGATAACTAATTCGTACAAAAGTATTAAAGAGATTCGCATCTGTTACACTTTGATCGTATTAGTGTTTAAAATATTAATTAACATTTACACTTTTAAAACCAGCTTAATTATGTAGAGGTAATTAAAACACCGACATCCGTCATCACTTACAAAATTAATCATCACCGTGTCTAAAACTGGAAACGAGTACATTAACATATCCAATTAATATTTTTGATGAGTCTTGTACATTTTCTGTGTTCACATTTATTATTAAAATTTTATGACATAAATCATTTACTGAACTGTGTCCCCGATGAAAATATTTGACAATAAAAGTGATGTATGGTTTGGTATAGACAAAAAATTAACATGATTGAATTTTATTTTTATTTCCTTCTGCAGAGAGTGTTAGCTTCCTGATCCTATTATGATATTAGAATGTTGTACCTCAAAATGTCAATTACTGAGCAAAAGCCTTCTCTTTAAGAACGTGTGTTTGCCAACATTACCACGCTTGTGAATTGTAATTTGGTCGATGTCTTCTCTCAAATATCGACATTAGAGGTTGTTGTTGCCTGTCTTCCTGTAGCTCGCAGTTTTAAGGTTGGGTCTTTACTTAATCTAGTCTAAACGTATTCAATATTGACATTCTAAGAAAAATTATAAAAATTGTCATTTTTATTTATTATTGAATTAACAATATCTAAAGATGCTTTGTCTAAATAAGACAAAATGCCTAAGCCTGCGTGTGTCACTCGCGTGATTGTCGCGTGAAGGCCGCGTGCCACAAACGGGCACTAGGCTGCCCAGCTAATTGTGTTTGTTTTGTGTTGTGGATACAATTAGAGGCTGAATGTAACAAGTTTGTTTATCTATGATGCGTGCCTGACATAAAATTTGACGGGTGCGGACCACAGGTGACAAACGACAAAATGTTTGAGTGTAAAAACGTCCTATGCAGTTGTCATTTGTTTTAGGGATTAATCAATTTAACATTTCTGATATGGTGTTAAACACAAGGTTATTATTCTATTACAAACACATTATAATTTAACTTTTTGGTATTATTAAAACAGAATCACCCAAAACAATTTGCTTGTATTACGTGGGCGAGTTTTTAACCTTGCACCGTTTTTGGTGACTAGACATTATTTACATGTATAAAAATTAGGATAATAAATCTCAGTAGACATTAAAACTCATCTGTAATCATTCATTCATTCATTTAATTAAAATTTATTCTATAGAAATTAATTGGTTGATTCGTTGATTGTGAATAATGTTGAAATTGATATTGCTACCAAATGGGCTATAAATCTTTCAACGACATGAGCATAGATTTTAAACTATAAACTATAGGACTTAAGTGGCAGCGTCCTTGTAATTGTAGGTCGACATGTTTCTTCTATGACCTTATTGTCTAAGTACCACATTGATAACTAAAAGGAGTTTCATATTTATATGCGAATTTAATACTCGTTGTTGTTGATGCCTTATTGTTTTGTAGTAGCTTTATTCATAAGTAAGACTTGCTTCTTAAATATAACAGGCGTTTTATACATATGTTATTAAAGTTTTTCTTCACTGCAAAGTAATTATATCAATTGTTTGAGGATAGCAATACAGCCTCTTCAGATTTGATGCCACATATATCTGGTCTGTTTTACAAAAGGCATATATCACCATCATTAAGTATACCCAGTGGTTGTAGGGTAACCCAGGGCTAGAATTTATTTAACATTTTCGAATGTCTCATTTTTACTTACTTTGTTTTTTTTTTATTTCCAGAGGGTTTTAATTCTGTTAGGAGTCGTGGCAGTAGCGTTATCAGCACCGCAGGGGCCTGCAGACAAAGTCATAGCAATCGTCTCACAAGAGTTCGACCAACAACCAGATGGATCTTATCGTTACAGGTACCTAAATAATAATTTTAATAAAGAATTCGAATGCACATATATTTCTAACCACTAAGTATTTTACGTTAAAGTCATTAATTTTCATAAAAATGTAATCATCGCATAAAAATCAAATTTTATCGGTCATTATAAGTAACTATGTAATTCTGTACGTAAAACCTACTTACACAGAATCATATTTATAGTAAATTAATTCCGAAAACGGTTTAAACGACTTGAATTTTCCTAATTTTCTTTTTTCTGTAATGTAAGTCTTAGTTGGGTTTAAAGGCTATGCTCAAAATTGGTACAGTAGCTACACGTTGATTTAAATCATAGTGACAATAACTCTAACAATACAAATATAATAAACAAACAACTAAATATTTACCATCAGTATTACAAAGCAAATATTTGGCACTGACGACAATGACAAGCTTACCACCATACACTCAAACATCACTCAATTTTAAATGAGCATTAAATATCATGCTGTCTCTTTTACTTCCAACAAAATTTTTGAGACAGAAGTACTTTTATAAAGGTAATTTAAGTCGAGTGTTGTTTGAAAATTCGGGCTATAATATTATCGTATTTGCGTGTTAATCTGTGACGCGAACTTCGTGTTTGTCCAACTACGTAGCGGTTTGTTAGAGAACAGCAATGTGCAAATACAATGTGTTTATAGTGAAGACCTGCAGCGAAGATTTTTAATCGGAGTAATAGGTACTATGATCTTAACCAACTTTATTAATAGAGAGTCTTACATTTTACCATGGAGCCTGGTTGACATACATACATAACGTCACGCCTTTTTATCCCCGAAGGGGTAGGCAGAGGTGCACATTGCGGCACTAAATGCCACTGAACAATGTAACATCCACTTTTCACTATTTATGTTGAGTCCCATGTAATCGGGGGTGAGCATATTGCCATATACCGGGTGACGATTCCAGATTCCGTGCTACTACTGAGATTTTTTTTAAAAAACCCAGTAATACTTTTTTGTAACATATCTTTGCATGCCAAGTTGAGGCAAAATATGGAGAAACTATAAACTTTGTTAACACCTATAAATTATGTACCCATGTTTGCAAATTATTAAACGAATATGAATATGAATACTTTACCCGACCCGGGAATCGAACCCTTGACCCCTTGCCCGGCAATCGCTCTTGCGACAACTCGGTAAACGATGAGCCTGGTTGAGTTGCCGCTAATCCAATATCAAGATGTTTTGAGTCCGATTCATGGGTTGGGTCAGATAATAATAAGGTTTAAGGATTTTAGGTTCGAAATTTTCCAACACCAGGATGGAATCTGTAATTAATACCATGGATACTGCAGCCTATCCATTGTACCATTAATGATAGGCTCCATACGAGTAGTTCAAAACCTGATAGATTTTTTTTAGCTATGTAATAACGTGTTGTGAATATTCTAATGATGTCAAGGCTACTCAACAGAGTTTGCCTGTACCTATTTGAAATATCATCAAAACCAGATTCTTAAAGGAAAAATTGTTTTATTAATAGGAAAATTAGACACGATCAAATATAATAAGAATAACATTAATGAACAAGGATTGAAAAATTGTTTTATTTATGGGAAAATTAAAATAAAAAGAACAATAACGAACAAGGATTGAAAAATTGTGTTATTTATGGGAAAATTAAACATGTCTGTCATTAAACAAAATGAGAAAAATATTGATGAACAAGGATATAAAAAACTTTTAAAGAACATGATTTATTAAGTTTACATGATCATTCTAATCAATTAGATGCTTATTGATATGTGGATATACATAAAAATGGACTCACAGATTTTGTTACTGCTAAATTTTTTCAATAGTTTCTTTTATTTTTTCTTTACATAATTTTTCTCAGATTTATGTAGGTGAATAACAATAAAAATTAGGTGATTAGCGTTTTGAGCTTTGAAATTCATCTTTTTACTGATAGCTAACGATGTGCTGTTCACTAGTACCTAATAAATATATCAGCATTAGATAACGTGACTACAAGTGATGTATTAAATTACATTAGCAACTGCACCATCATTGATTTGACCCCCTGCTTGTACTGTCTCTGGGTTAGCAGGCATCTAATAAAGTTCAAGAACAAAAGGCGACAACATATCAAGGTTCACCATGAAAAAAAAAACAAACAACAAATTGGTTCTTCAAACACTTTAGTATCATTCTATTTGTAAGATAGGTAAAATCGTGTCCATATTTTCGATTTCAGAGAGTAAAATTTTAGTCTTTGTCAGTAATCGGCCTATGCAATAATCTACTAAAGTAGGTACCCATCTAGAACTACTTCATATGGTAACTGGAATTAATATATTAAGAGTCTTCTGCTCTTATTACTTTAGGAAATACGATTGAATTTTCCTATCGAGTGCTGGTACATGAGACATAATAGAAAATACACTATGTCTTGCGTAGATCTACGTTCGGGCATTCCACGGGTTAAATTGATGTTAGGTTATGATATTACAATAAGTAACAAAAATAATGTCCCATACATTTGAATGTCACGCTTTGGTAGGATCATTTAAATCCTTGGCCGAATTGTTTTCTATAAATATCATGTTGTAAGTATTTCTTGAAGTATGTTATGAATGTGATAGGTATCTACCTAGCCTTACGACCTTGATCGTACAATAAAAATTCATATCATTCCGTTTTACAATGCACGAGAAAAGGCGCAACGCGACCTGCTTGTTTATTGTATTTGTAGGTACGTTGTTAGTGAATTCTAGATAATTTATAACAAATACCTTGATACATGGTTAAGTATAGAACAGAATAAAATATGTTCATTATTTAATAATCCTATTTCCTTCAAATCATCTTTTAGTAGCAGGTATGTAGATACTTGTAAAACAGCATGTATTTTGGGATTTTACTTTGAGCGTTATACGTCATTTTTATTTAGGATTCTCCTAAATCACACCTGCTCCAAATAAAGAAGTAAACAGTAGTAATAAGCTCTAATCACAAAATATCTGCTCATCACGACTTTATACGGACCAATTGAGTAAAAAAATCAGGCGTGCACTGGTAAATCAGTTTATATCATGTGCAATGAATACCTAAATATCTACTGACTTTTGGATGTTAATACTTGACATCCATGGGAAATTTTCAGAGAAAAATCCGAGGTTATTATTAACTATCAGGTGAAACTCATTGGAGACTATCAGGAGTGTTAGTAACATCCAAGAGTCAGATAGATATTAAGGTTAACCAATATCTCAGTTAACACCTGAGACTCCTAATAATTCGCAATAAGTTTCACCCGACAGTTAACAAGTCTTGGATTTTTACGCTGAAAATTTCCCCCAGGTACTTTTTAACTATAAATTAGTTTTATTTATCAAATTTTCTTAATAAAAATTTTATTCAATTTTCTTCAGCTACGAGACTGAAAATGGCATCAAAGCAGAAGAGGCTGGTACACTGAAGAAGGCCAGCGGTCCCGACGCTGGTGACGTCATCGTAGCTCAGGGAGGTTTCAGCTACACCGCTCCTGATGGCACCGTTATCAATCTGAACTACATTGCTGATGATGACAATGGCTTCAAACCGGAGGTGACACTATTTTTTCAATCACATTAAAGGAAACACCTACCTATATTAGTTAGACTTACGTATTTCAGCTACCATACGACATAATATTTATAGGGAAAGAGAAAAGTATGTCTACGCGACAAACGACGTGTCTCTTATAAGTTTTAGTAGAGGCAGATATGTTTAGCAGTTTTTTTGCTATCAAATTTGATTATTTGGCATTGCTCATACTATAGATTGAGCACTAAATATTCGTCCACAGTTTGTGAATTATTGAAATGATGCACCATTTCTTGATTTATTTGGTCTCCAATTTTTTGTTGCATAGCTAATAAAAAAGGTAAAAATGCTACACAAATCAAGGATATTACTGTAGGTATTTAATTTGTATCTGTATGCCAAGGAATGCAGCTTAACCTTTAGAATAGTTTTTTTTATTGTATAGTTCGGTCATCCTAGTAAAAATAGACTATAAACACGCACGATGACGTAATATTTACGGAATCGTTTAAATATTTTGTTTTATTAATTTTGGAATCTATTTATTTGTCACGGTTTTATATTATGATACCTTGTGTTAAAGATGAGCTCATACGATTATCATAATTATAGTCGGTGACAGAAGTCAAGTGATTTAAATGCCTATTTGTTTTAGCTGTTTTGAGCTAACACTAAACCTGTTTTTCCTTAAAGTGTTTAGCAAAGGTACACTGCCACGTACAAAATATAAATAAAAAATCTAAAATATCTAGTAATCAATCATATGTCCTTGGTAGGTACTAGAGCTAGATTGACCGCACTTATAAGACATTGTTAGTTTACCCACATTTAAATAGTGTAATGAATAGTAGAAATAGAGATATTAGTAGCGGAGACAGTACAGTTAATGGTCAATTTTTCTTTGTATCGGTCGCGTCTAATATTTTTTTGTATTCCTTCCAGGGTGCTCATTTGCCGACTCCGCCACCAATACCGCCTGCAATCCAGAAGGCGCTCGACTATCTTGCCACACTCCCCCCACCACCACCATCCAGGGCTTAGATCTATACCCAGACCACGGGCTGATGCCTAAACGACCTGACCATCCTACGTACCTGTAACCCCACGAATACTCGTATAGTCTTGCAAATAGAATTTAAAGCTTTTGAAAAAATAATGTAGAATTTATGCAACATTTTTACATGTTTTATAGTAAAAAGGATCTCGTTATGCGTTCTATGCATTACCAGTCTTTTTTAGATAAGCAAATGTTATTTTTTACAATAAATAAATCTAAAATTTACAAAGCATATTTAAATTCTGTTTACGAAACTGTACTAACATTAAAACAATATAATATAGTAAGCAATAAAAAACATATAAAAAAGAATGTACAATGACTGAACTGTGATAGAAAATGATTGAGTTTTGAGTAAAATGTTTGTATATTTATTTAAATAAAAGCAAAATCAGTGCCAAAGATGCATTGCAAAATGTAATTCTTGTTTTTTCAATACCAATAGGGCATAATGACCCTTATTCTCCAATTCCCAGGGATAGTTTTATAACATTTCTTTATCGAAAAACTTTGTTAAAGAAAGGCATTATTACGTGTTATAACTTAGTAACTATTTATCATCCCCTGATCATAACGGAATTATTTAAAAGACTTCTGCAAACGCAGTCCTAGGCTCGACATCGTCGAGCGTACGGCGCGTCGCGTTCCGCGCGCGCCTCAAAGAGCCATCAGACCACCACGGATGGGGCCCAACAGGGCTAATGCCGATACGGAGCCGCGGAAGACTTAACGGGTTGCCGGGGCTCCGGCTCGAAGTGCAGGAGTAGGAACGGGGTGGTTTTTAGTCAGTAAGAGTCTGACACTCCCTCTCGCCTCACCCGGGCGGGAGAAGTCATTGGATGATTTTCCCCCCTCAAAAAAAAAAAAAAAAAGCCTCGACATCGTGTAATGTCGTAACCCATGGTTTTATTTTTCTGACAAAACAGGCTACTTATTCTTTGGTGACGTTATAATACATACCGATTTTTTATGTAATTAAGAAGGAATTTGATACACACCAACCACATCCTTCTACTAGTTAACCAAATGGAGGCTTATCAAGGTCTTATGTACTTACATACTAAAGACAATAGGCCATATTACATACTGTGATTTTTCATTAGCATGGATCCTATAGATAGAACTGTCATATACGTGATAAACTGTTGATGTCATACTCAAACTGATGTCAATGACTACAAAATAATCAGGTTTCAGTCTGCCGGATGTTTTTGATAGTAGTAATTCTGCGAAATTATGTAATTGGTGTATATTATATTGTTGTTTTGGTAGGCTAACATCTAAAAATGAGAATTTACTTAGGTATAGGCTATGATGGTGATGAAAATCCAGTTCTTACCTAAAATTCGGTATCACGAACTTCAGAAACATAGTCACCAGCATGGGTGTAAAGTTTTATAACTGTTGAAAAAGTGAAGTATCCAGTATTAAATCTAGAAAAAATATTGACCTTCATAAAAAAGTGCATACAGTAAATATTGATTGCTATAAAAAGTTTAGATATTGAAGTGTTTCTTAGATTGCATACGTTAAAAGGTTACAAAAAGACACCTTTTAATTTAGCTTAAAAATATCAAGTAAAAATAAATAGTTAAAGCAGAGTCGTACATTGTCGTACAAGTAATAATAGTAGCTCACACGTAATATAAGCACTATTGATATATAGGTAAATGACCTCATAATATACAAGTAAATGTCAGTGAAAATATTCACCATAGAAAGCAAGAGTGATCTCACCACAACATAATACTTGAACAGCATTCCTCTAACGACCTGTTTTGATACACGAACATACCAAGGTCGATGATGAGAACAGAGAACATCAATTTATTCCTTTATGTGTACCTACCGAATATACTAAATGTTGAAGGCTATGGAAAATTAAAACTCTTTCGATTTTTATTGTTTCATCAACCAATTATTAATACTATCACGAACGTTATGATTAATAATCATCATAAACTTGTGACTATCCACTATTGAACTACGGGCCTCCACTTCATAACACGGTTTAGCAAGGAGGTTGGAAACCGTAGTTTAAAAGGTTCAAGACTGTTGCCCATTTTTTTTCAAGTGTTCTCCCTTAGTCGGATGTAACAACATCTGCAGGCATGGTTAGTGACAATTTTATTTATGAAATAGACAAACGAACAGATATATCACCCGATGGTAAGCTATCAGCGCCGCCCATGGATACTTGCAACACCAGAGGAGTCACAGTTCCGTTGCCGGCCTAAAGAAATACGCTATTTTCTTGAATGTTTGAATGTCGTATCGGTGATAATGTAGATGATAATAAAGTTGACAAAATTTTCATTGTAAGCCACAGTAGCACTATACCTCTAAAAAAATCCCTCTTTTTGGGGCCCTTTAGCATTGAAGTTCTTTTCCAATGCAGCAGTAAACCTAATGAGAATAAAATCTAACCTTTAAAAAGATAACTGACGTTTGAGTATACCAAACTAGAATTTGAGGGCTGCTCAATGATTTAAGCAGCCGTTAAATATTTAACAAACGTTTCAGTATTCGGACATAAGAGCATTAAAACTATAATTATTTTTTATATAAATATGAAATTAAACCATCGCAATATACTATCGCCTATACAAATACCTAAACAAGATCCAACGACACAAAACCTATTGTCTGTTTGTGCTTAAATTGTCTATTATGAATGTCAAAAAACAATGAAACATCAATATAATTTTCCAAATTGAGGAATGAATAACCTTTCTTTCTTTAATATAGAAGAACAAAAAATTGTAAACAAAAACAAAAATATAACGTAAACAATAGCCAACACGTAACGGCAAGAGTACACTAAAACTAAAACAATAATGTGACATGATTTCTTTCAACACATATTTATATTACGCCGGGTTAAATACCACATTCGAAAAATCGAGTTTATTTTTTTGACTATGCGTAATTACCAACATATATCCAGGTTATGACACTTTTACACCATAACATAACATAACATCACGCCTTTTATCCCCGAAGGGGTAGGCAGATGAGTACATTATGCCACTGTACAATGTAACACCCACTTTTTACTATTTATGTTATGAGTCTGTGACTGTGATTTTTTTGAAAAACTCAGTAATACTTTGCCCGACCAGGGAATCGAACCCGAGACCCCTTGCCCGGCAGTCACACTTGTGACTACTCGGTTTTTTTTACACCCTTGTTTAATTATTATTAACAATTATATCTGCGATCCATTTTTACGTATTTATCATAGTTCTTTTATTACAAAAAAGTACCAGTGACCAGTATTATATTTTGTCCAAGCGTATTTTAAAATTCAGGATGAAATTCTCATCATAAGAGCATACTCTATAAGTTTAGGAATGTCACCAAGATGATTTTTGCTGCACAGATTTCAATATGAGTGAATGAAATATTTTAGTTTGTTTTGAAATAATATCATGTATCACCTTTTAATGTTTTCTTAGTTATGGGTCCACATTCTCTCCGTCACTTCTACTGACTCAGTGGTCTTGGTGGCTAGGTATTCCAAAGCACGTTTAATCTCTGGAGGAATAGGTGGAGGTGTGGGTAAATGTGCACCGACTGGCCTGTATCCATTTTCGTCCGCTGTGTATTGCAAACTGTAGTCATTGCCGTCTTTATCCTGAAAGTTACACAAATATGGCCTAATATAGTTAGGTTAGTATTACGGTAGACAATGTCTTAGTTAAGATGAATATACCCGGCAAACAGATGATAGAACTTGGAGTAGAAAAGTACAGAAATCCTGTCCTAGAGTAGTCCTTTAGTAAGATTTTAAAATAAGTAAATCAGTATAGTTATAAATAATCAAATTAGTTAGAACATTTTAAAGTATTGTAAGATCGTCAATAAAGGCTATTGTAGTACTTAAATAAAATAGCTGTTGAACTCTAATAAATTAGCTTTGTCACCATTATGTGCATTAAAAGCAATATAATTTATTAACATGCTATAGGAAAGTGTATTCAAGGTCACCACAACACTACCTTTTAGGATGTACTATATAAAATGATAGATATGTTGTGACTTAATTATTTTGTGAAATTGTGCCCTCCACTACACACTAGCTAGTTACCATACTAGATTTTTCTTTTGTGCTGTAGGTCCGTTTCATAACGCATCGCGTGCAGTCTTAGCAAAGAATTTTTCGTGCCGGAGTCAAAACAGCAACTCGCCTATTTGGTCACATAGCCAGTGTGCGAATCATGCAGTTAGATAATAATATTATTGTATGAATATGATCTAAAGCGTAGGGTTGAGCAACTTTCTTTTGTACATAGTAAGTTAGGATGTAGGGTTGTAAAAAATAGGTACGTTAAATGATAATATGCATGTGTATAATATAATGTATTTCCTTAAATAATGATCTACACTCAATTACTCACAGAAACCAAAATCTCATCACATAGTAATGGATTGTTAAAGCATGCATTTAGTCTATGATTATACTATTTTTATGTTAAGGTTAAGATTAGCACGAATGAGCTAATAAAACATTGTATTACTTTGTAGGAGAAGTTTCCCTCAACTGCGCTGCCGGCACCTCCATTTGACTGTTTTAATTGACCTCTCTCGTAAGCTTTTGTGCCGTCTCCGCCTTCATAGCTGTGGAATAACATTAGTTCAAATATTAGGATGCATTTTTAACAAGTTAATAGACTATATAACGTCATTACGGTCTATTTGTCTAAGCAAAGATCACATTGTACTCAAGGACACATTTTATCTGTTTTATTACTTACCACACAAGAGAGAAATTAAAAAAATATGTTTATTCTATTCAGAATTTTTTATATTAATGAAATCAGAGTTGAATAAAAATATATTATAAATGATAAATAAAAGTAGTAAGTAGTAGTACCTGTAATGGAAGTTTCCAGAATGCGAAAAAACATAGTTTTGCGAATCAATTATTGGAACCACAGGTGCTCGCATTCCCTTCCTTCGTTTGAAAGTTTGAGTAGCATATGACTGTTGCTCCTCCTTGTAAGCTTCCTCAGATTTCGCTGTTGTGTCAGTTGTTGTTACTTTAGCTGCTTCGGCTTCTGTTTCATTAACAAAAACATCAAGTTGGCTTTTATTTACTTTGACTTTCCTTACTTGTTGCAGCCTCCTTCGTATTTTCCTTCTTGGTTTATTGTCGTAGTCTGCAAGCGCCGGTGTCTTTGTTTCATCTAATTCAGAACGTTTTATATTTACTGATCGGGCTTTGGGTTTTTGAATTATTCTTTCTTCATAATCTTGTATTCCACCTAAAAGCATTAGATTTCCAGCACGGTGATTCTCTGTGCTTTTTGTTTCGCTTGTGTCACTTATTTCATTTACGGCCATTTTCTTCATATGGAGAATTGCATCTTCGTCTGCCATTACAGCAACTGGAGTTTTCTCTAAGAAGTCCGCAAGTGGTGGATGATTAGCGTTATGCGATCTTGTAAATTGTGTATGCCTTCGAGGAACACGCCTCTGTATAATTAAATCTGCACTAGTCACACTGATCCCTAATAATAACGCCATTGGTAATATTGATTTGTAAATTAACATTTTCAATTAATTAATTAATCCGTTAAGTACTTATACGATCCTTCTGCCGCGCGATTAAGCCAGCAAATGAAGGCGATTCAATAGTTTAACTCATAATGGGCTTTACTCGTAATCTATCTACTGGTTTGACAAGAATCATAGATTTTTCTTGTATTTATAATTATACGCACGACAATCACCTCTATTTATGTAAACAAATATGAATGTGGATATTTACATTAGCTGTTATTCATGTTATTCATATTATGTAAATATTATACAGCATGATCCTTATTCATATTTTTAATATATTATATCTTTATTTCAGGCAAAATTATTCACCCATATCATTTTTTTACACACAAAATAGGGATATAATATAAAAAAATATTAATAAGGATCATGCTAACACAAAAAGCAATACAAAAGAAATAAACAGTTTACTTCTTACACGACTCTATTGCGAGGCGCATCTTTTTTTTAAAACAGGGAAAAAGCCGTCTGTGGACTCTTCCGTGATCATTCCAGTTCCTCAAACATTTTAATTGGCCATTAATAATTATTATAAAATTAATTCTTACTACGCCAAAGCCTACCTAATAATACAACTGTTTAAATTAATATTAATAGATAAGAACAAAAAAGCTGTTTTGTCAGATAAGTGGTCGCAAGCGCAACTGCTGACCAATGTATTTGCAATATGACGTCACGTCTTTTATCCCCGAAGGAGTAGGCAGAGGTACACAATACAGTACTTAATGCTACTTTAAGTAGAGTAACACCCACTTTTCCCTACTTATGTTATGAGTCCCATGTAATAAGGGGTGAGATTATTGCCATAAACCGGGCACAATTCCAGACTCATTGGTACTACTAATATTTTTTTTAAACCCGGTAATACTTTTCCCGATCCGGGAATCGAATCCGAGACCACTTGCCCGGCAGTCACACTTGCGACCTCTCAGCCAAAGAGGCAGTCACCAATGTATTTCAAGTGCTACTTTCAGATCGGGTTGTGTTATTTGGTTTCTAATCTTTTCTAAATGAAATTAATCTATAGTATATGCAGCATATAAAATATGGTAGGTTAACCTATAATACAATTAGCAATAAGTGGGCTTTACCTACTTTAATGTCATGGTGGCCCGGAGGTTTAAGACGCCCGCTTCTTATGCATGAAAGTGTGGTTCGAAACCTACTAACGGCACGTTCCAATGTTGTTACACTTTTTCTAAGTTCTTCTTCTTCTTATAGTGCCTCTTCAATGTTAAAGGTCGGCCGTCAGCATCTTGTATTTCTCCTGTTCTATTTCTATTTTTATTTTCTAAGTTACGATTATTTATTTCCTTTCTAAGAGTATTTAGACATCATTGACGGAGAGGAAACCTGGGCTTATAATTTATAATTATAAGTTTGAAATCGCCAACCCGCATAGAGCAAGCAAGGTGATTGATGAGACTTGGGACATTAGTAGATATTAGTAAACTTGTGTGCAAAATATGTATGTGTCAACTGTTTTAGCGTGCGAAATAAAGTTTTTCTTTCTTCCTTTCTTTCTTTGATTCATGTTCGAACCTTCTCCTTGTTTGAAGAGGCCATTGGTCAGCAATAGCCACATATGGGCTGTTGATAATGATGATGAGGCTTTAATTAGTGCATCTCTGCCTATACTATCCTTTCGAAGAGCCAAAAGGTATAAGGTAACTTAAAGACTAAACTAACATCGAATATTTACAATCTTAGCAGACATAAATATTGGCCTGTGACTCCTCTGGTGTTGCGGGTGTTCATGGTCCCGTTTGCTTGTTTACCTTCTACCAAACATGTTCAAAATGCACATCTAATGTAGATTTTTAGGGAATGGTACTTGGTGTCTATATCACATAGGATTTATAAATAACAAAACTAATGAAGAATAAATATGCAATTAATTTTTGGACCTCCTGCATGTCTTTAAAAAAATGTGTAGGTATGATCAAAAAAATTCATTTATTTATTTTTCATAATGTTTATTATAAACACGGAATTTTTCAGCTAGTTGTTTAGGAGTCAATGGTTTACTCGCGACCAATCGTCATCGATCATGTTCGATTGTTGACACCTAGGCTATTGTGCAATTTTCCGAAGAACACATCAGTCCGGCGTTAAGGTTGAAGTGGTTAGCGTCCGGTGAGGCTTGCTCCTAAGGAAGGCGGGGGGAGGATAGAGTAAATAAATGTGTCTTACATATAAGTGAACATCAATTCTGGAGTATCATTATGAAATGTCAGTCGGGAGTGGTTCCAATAGAGATGTTATTAAAATTACTTTGTTTGTGCTTGCTAACGGTGTGCGTGCTTTCTGCGCCACTCACGGATGAGGTCCCCCCGGAAAGAAAACAACCGACAGTGATACCCATTCTTACACAATCTGAGGAAATTGACGCCGACGGAAAATATAAATTTAGGTAATTTTTATTTTATTTTGTTTATTAGATGCATTTATAAATATAACTATTACTGGGATTTAAAAAAATCTCATGAGCCTGTAATTATGCCCGGTGTATGATAATAGGCTCACCCCTTATTATATAGGACTCATAACATAAAATAGTGAAAAGTGGGTGTTAGATTGTACAGTGGCATTAAATGCCGTAATGTGCATCTCTGCTAACCCCTTCGGGGGTTAAAGTCATCATGATGATTGTTATGTTGTACTTTTACCGGATTTTCAATCATTTTGTGCCACAGAAAGAAAGCGCAGTGAAGGGAGTTTTAAAAAACTTAATTTCTTTACAAATCAAATAAAACCCTTCATAAAAATTACATAGTAAAATTGTGTTAATAAATAGCTCAAACATTTGTAAACTACCTTTAATTTCAAATCCAGTCTTTATGATACAAAATATTTCATAAAAACTCTATTTTGTTTCGGGGACTCTTAGACGTATGCTGGTGGTAGTGAGACAAAAGTAGATGCTAGATAGTCAAGAGCTTATACAAAAATATGTGTGGTAGATTGCTCAGGGTATTTGTACAAAATATAAGGTCATGAAACTACCCCAATTACAAGTTTTATTAGTACAAAACCGTGATTTACAATTACAGCTATGAAACCGGGAATGGTATCAAGCGTGAAGAAACGTCGTTCGACAAAGTGGTAGAAGGCAAGGCCGAGCATAAACACACCGATTGCAGCAACGAAGGTGGTGAGGATGAGGACAGTGGAGAAATTCATGTGCAAAAGGGATCCTACTCTTATACCGCTCCAGATGGTACCGTCGTTAGCGTATCGTAAGTAAACATTAGTTTTACAAACACTTAGAGAAATTGAGAGCCCAACGAGACCAATTTCCATGTTTAATATTTTAATTTCATGGATTATGAATTAATGCATTAGATGGATTTTATAGTAAAATAAAGAAGAAGACCATAATTCCTGCGAGAGTCACATTACCAGTTTTTCCCTGTATCGATTTTTCTACAGAATTGTATAATCACATAAATCTTTTTTGTTATAGGTATATTGCAGATGAAAATGGATTCCGACCTACCGGAGAACATATTAACTTAGGACCGAAAAGAGTTGAAACCTTCAGTCACATAAACAAATATGACTCTTCACTAGAACACGAGAACAGTGAGGAATATAAATCCAAACCTGTTCATAAAAAGAAAGCTTTGGCAGAAAACTCACAGTCGGGATCATTTGAAGATATATTACCACCTCACGGTGAATTCGCGAAAAAAATCACCAAAGAAGAAACACATGTGGTCATTAAACCTGAAAAGGTAGTCGAAGAGAGCAACAAACTAAACAATAAAAATATATTAGTTGAAAAAGGTAAAAGGCCAAGTTTTACTGCACCTGGGGCACTCGTTGCCGAAGAAGATGACTTAACTAATGATAATACAGCACTTGAGAAAAAAGTGGAACATCCCAAAAATCATAATGAAGCCTCTAATAAACAAAACAAAAAAGTTTTTATCAATATGGATATAAAACACAACGCTAAGGAAAGTGAGTCCCAAGAAAAAATATCAAAAGAAGATAAAAATACTGCTATACAAAAAGAAGAAAACCTAGCTACAAAGGAAAGTGACAAACTTGAAGGTAAAGTAAAGAAAAATTCATATGATAAAAAAATAGAAAAATCTGCTGCTAAAGAAGGAGAAAAGCTGCCCAAAGCTGACGAAGAGTCGGTTAGAAATGAAGGACAAAAACACGAAGCCAAAATTGTAGGAAAACCTGCAATTGAAAAAAAGATAGGTGCCATCGAAGGAGAAAAATCCGCTTCGAAAATTGAGGAAAAGACTGCAACAAAAGAAAATGAAATGTCAGAAACCAAAGATGGAAAAACAGCAGATGTCAAGAAAAGTAAGGAAATGACAGACAAAGAAGGGGAAAAGTCTGCACTCAATGTAACAGGCAATCCCATAATCAAAGAAGGAGTAAAGCCTATGGTCAAGGAAGTTGAAAAAGTCACTGCAAAGGAAAATGGTAAAACTCCCCCTAAAGAAAATGAAAAGTCAGGTGTCATGAAAGGAGAAAACCCTGTACTTGAAAAAAGTAAGAAGCTCCAAGAGACAGAAAAGCCTGCAGTCGAAAAAGAAAAGACACCAAATACCAAAGTAACCAGTAATGAGACACTTGCCACTAAACCAAAGGACGCTTTAAAAGACGGCGAAAAAACTGCTGCTAAACATGTAGAAAATCACGCTATCAAAGACCTTGTAGCAAAAGAAAGTAAAAATTATCTTGCTAAAGGAGAAAAACTAGTCTCTACAAAAGAAGAAAAACATGCACCTAAAGAAGAGAAACCAACCCTTAAAACAGGAGAAATGCCTGTCTCCGTAGGAGAAAAACCAACACCTAAAGAAGGAGAAAAACCTGCGCCCAAAGAAGGGGAAATACTAGCTCCCGAAGAAGGGGAAAAATCTTCGCCCAAAGAAAACAAGCCAATCCTTAAGGAAGGAGAAGTGCCTGCCTCCACAGGAAAAATACCAACCCCTAAAGAGGGAGAAAAGACAGCGCCAAAAGAAGAAGAAAAGCCTGGTTCCATAGAACAAGAAAAGCCAGTGCATAAAGAAGGTGAAAAATCAGCACTCAAAGGAGGAGAAAAGCTAATACTCAAAGAAGGAGAAAAGTCTGTACCCAAAGAAGAAGAAAAGCGAGCCCACAAAGAAGGAGAACAGTCAGCTCCCAAAATAAGAGATATGCTAGCTTCCAAAATAGGAGAAAATCCGGCTATTAAAGAAGGAGAGCAGCTGACTGTCAAGGAAGAAGACAAAAAGACACCTTCTAAAGAAGGACAGAAGTCATCTTCCAAAGAAGGAGATAATCCTGTTCCCAAAAAAGGGGAACAGCCAGCCCCTAAAAGTGATACGCCAGGCTCCGAAGGGGAAGAAAATCCTGCCCGCAAAGAAGTTGAAAAACCAGTTGTTAAGGAGGGAGAAAAATCAGCTTCCAAAGAAGGAAAAAAACCTGAATCCAAAGAAGAAGAAAAAACAACCTCTAAAAATGAAGAAAATCTTGCTCCCAAAGAAGGAGAAAACCCAGTCACCAATGAAGGCGATAAGTCAACCCCCAAAAATGGAGAAAAAGACGCTGTCCTTAACAAAGAAGGAAAGTCTACTCTTAAAGAAGGAGGAAAGCCAGTACTCAAAGAAGGAGAAAAGCCAGTGTCCAAAGAAGGGGAAAACTCAGATCTTAAAAAAGGGGAACATCCAACTCCCAAAGAAGGAGACAAGTTACCGTCTAAAGAAGGGACAAAACCTACCTCTAAGGCAGGAGAAAAGCCAAATGTCAAGGATGAAGAAAAACCAGCTCCAAAGAAAGGAGAAAAATCAGCGCCCAAAGAAGAAGAAAAGTCAGGCCCCAAAGAAGGAGAAAAGCCAGGTCCCAAAAAAGGAGAAAACCCAGCTCCCAAAGAAGGAGAAAAACCAGCTCCCAAAGAAGAAGGAAAGACAGCGTCTAAAGAAGGAGAAAAATCAACCGAAAAAGAAGAAGAAAAACCAGTGTCTAAGGAAGGAGAAAAGCCAGCGCCCAAAGAAGGAGAAAAGTCAGTGGCCAAAGAAGAAAACAAGCCAGGCCCCAAAGAAGAAAAGCCAACTCCTAAAGAAGGAGGAAAGACAGCGTCTAAAGAAGGAGAAAAATCAACCGAAAAAGAAGAAGAAAAACCAGTGTCTAAGGAAGGAGAAAAGCCAGCGCCCAAAGAAGGAGAAAAGTCAGTGGCCAAAGAAGAAAACAAGCCAGGCCCCAAAGAAGAAAAGCCAACTCCTAAAGAAGGAGGAAAGACAGCGTCCAAAGAAGGAGAAAAATCAACTCCCAAAGAAGGAGAAAAGTCAGCTGTCAAAGAAGGAGAAAAGCCAACGCTCAAAGATAGCGAAAAACCAATCCCTAAAGAAGGAGATAAGACGGTACCTAAGGAAGCAGAAAAGCCTGCTTCTAAGGGAGGGGAAAAGCCAGATGCCAAGAATGAAGAAAAATCAGCGCTTAAAAAAGAAACAAAATCAGAAGTTAAGGAAGAAAAAAAACCAACTACCAAAGATGGAGAAAAATCAGATATCAAAGAGGGTGAAAAACTGAGATCCAAAGAAAGTGAAAAGTTCACACTTAAGAGAGGAGAAAAGCTACCTAGCAAGGGAGGTGAAAAATCTAACGAAGCAAGCAAATTACCTAGTAAAGAAGTAAATAATACAAAAGAAGAAAAGTCTGTTACTAAAGATGCAGTTGAATCGAAAAAAGAACCTGAAAATGCAGAAAAATTATCACAAAGAGCGGTTAGCGTAGCAAAAGAAGCTAAGAAATCAGCTAGTGGAGCAGTTCAGTCTGCTATGGAAGCTTTAAAAACCGTAGAAGAAGTAATTCAAACTATAAAAGAACAGAGTGCGATAGAAGGTCCATCGTCTAAAAATAATGCCACAGCAGAAAAAGCCTTAATTGCCAAAAACGCAGCACAAGAAGCACTACAAGCTGCTCAGGCAGTTGGTTCTGCTGCTGAAACTGCAGAAAAAGCCGCCAAAGAAGCTATATCTTTGGCGAAATCGCTACCAAAACCCTCGGAAATCATTGCACAAAGTAGAGAACATCCCTTGAATGTACTGAAAATTGAGAACCCTACAATAGAATTAGGGAAGTCGTCTATAGATCATGAAAAAACTGAAGAACCTGATTACAGTGTTAAACCAATGGAGAATCCAAAAAAAGTAACAAAATCTCCAGACGAAGCACCTAAACCTGAGGCTGCATAATTTGGAATAATCAAATTATTGTTGACTTAAGGTCAGTACGAGTGAACGTTGTGTTAATATGGACAATCGAATTCAAATCCTACCTGAAGCCTGAAGCTTTCTGTGGATGAACTGTTAATTAGTGTTTAAAAGTGATATAATTATATCGTAAGATTTTCTAAGTCAATAACCTGGTTTGTATTGTTAATATTTAATTTAATATTATTAAATAAACGATTGTTATACCATTTGTTTGTTTCATTTTCTTAATCTGTCTTCAAGCGACTATAAATACATCAAAAACTAATGAATAATTTTCATTTAGCGTCTATTGATAAGAATACGTCTTATTTAGATTCAATAGAATAATTAATTTAGTTATCACATAGTACACCATATGTGAATATGAAAATAAAATAAAAATAACTAGGTATATATATTTTTCTCCATGACTTTAAACGCCTGAAGATATTTTGTATTCAATTTACAGCAAACAAAATAGTTTGGTGAATCTATCAGGCGCTTTAAAAACTACGTAGTTGACTAGTACTTTTTGTACATGAAATAAGTAAGTATAATATACTGTATGCTGGTTTGTTAATCAATTCACTAGAGCTTATAACAGCATTACCTATATTCAATGGTAATAAAAATATAGCTTATTTATGCACATTATTTCTTATAATACTTAAGTACTCTACGAATCGTCCTCCTAGAAATGGTCAATGGAAATAAATTCATATTATATAGTAAAAATGCAACAAATAACATTTGCATGTCAATGTTTTTAAACAAGTTACAGATGCGTACTTTTTATTTAACTAGGTACTCTGAGAAGAAACACCAAAATATACCTACTTAGGTTATGCACAAAGGCTGTCACTACATACTAGTGTACCTAAATAAAAATATTTATCTATAGTAACTAATACATTTTCCTGAATACAAAGGCAACTCCACTGAATAGAATGTTTGGCAAAAACACTTTTAATGATTGACATAACAGACTTGTCATTAGGCAAAAATTCTTTAGTGTTCAGGACAATTATGAATGTTCAAGGTCAACCTAAATAATAATAATTATTATTATAATCTACCCGATTTTTTAATAAAGTCGTTTACTATTTTTAATAAAAAAGAGAGTAGGTGTATCTAATGCACCTTGCGTGCCGCTTAGTGCATGCAGATTGAAATATCAGTTCAGTGAAATGTCAAGATCAGCTAAAGTCGACGCATAGTGCGGAGAAGCGTTCCTCCTCTCACTTTTGTGGCGAAACCAATGACGTTAATCTTAGGTATTAGGTGCACTGATACAATTTTGTTTTGGAATGCTCTAATAAAGTCAAGGGAGTCATTTAGGCATCCACTGTTGTGTACTGCATCAAGGTTTTACTTTTAGAATCGTGTTGTAGAAACGATTGCTAACAAATAAATATAAGACTAATTTAATATACATTACGGTTTAAATCGCTAACAGAATGCATAAATTAAAAACAACTTAATCATAGTGATTAATGGTTTATGATCATTCAGAGCAAGAAAGGGAATACTGTCCAAAGAACTAAAATAAGTGCAATGAATGCCAATGGTAGGCTTCATAGGGTTCTGTTTCCTGGTTCAATTTCGACGTTATTCATTTGTTTAGGTACGAGATTTTTTGTTCCCTATACAATTAGGCTATTAGACAGACTATAAGATAATCGTAGCTACAGAACCGTAGGTGCATTTTAATGTGTATCTGTCTATTTTTTAATAATAATGAGTAAAGTAGTCTCAAAATGCCGATACACTTAGAGGATAGCTATACATACAAGTTTAAGATTGCACTAGACATTAACATATGATTCAAGTTTAGTTGCTCTACCGGCCTCTCATTTAAGGTAAGTAGGTAACTATTAAGGTAACATGCTACTAGTTTTTATACTATTTGAGACTAAAGTAGATTGATTCTGGTTTCATATGTTTAATCATTAGATGGGCATTTCGATGCATGTTCGGTACTATAAGGGGATCAGAAAATCTAATGAAATCGACCTTGGACTTAGCGTAGGTTTTTAATGGACTCTTTAGGACAACCAAATTTGGAAAATCCCATAAATTTTATTAATAACTAGTAACAAGTTGCATGTAAATTATGTTTGAAGATCATTGTCTCGGGCAAAGTATTGATTACAAAATTATTTTCAGTAATAAAATGACGTCATAATTGGTATTTTATGTTAGCAAATTAACAGTATATTGCAGTGGACTACGACATATTTGGAATATGACATAAGTGGAATATTGTAACATATTGAAATAATGAAAAGTGAATGCAGATAAAAATGTAACTTGTAAGAAATACATGTATTCTTTATTAACCAGTATGGTCAATCAATGGAATTTTATTGTACAATAGAATTTCTATAAAAATAGTCTAAATACTACTATCTAACATTCCAGATTCTTATTAAATTTTTACTCCAGTATCTAGCTATAGATCTTACATAAGAAAAGAGCCGCAAGACATCCTACGTTACAATTTTACTTTCTCCGTTTAGTCTCCATGTCTCCGCATATTGTTCTCATTATCTTGATGTTATTCTAAGTATTAAATGAACCGACTTTTGGTACCTATTACAAGACGAGGATTTCGCTTTCTCGATCTGTAATCTTTATTAATATTGGTGAGTTCAATCTAGATTCTAGATGTTTTTATGTCTAATGTCAAATAACTACATATATAGCCATTCCGTATCGGATCTTTTGATGGTGCAGGTTTCTTTTATTTTTCATTTAGACTCTCATGGGCAATCTTAATTCATCTAACATAGAGTGATATATAAATATACCTACAATACCAAATACAAAACTAATTAAATAATTATAAGCGCGGTGAGTCTCTGAATACACACATGTAGACACATACACAATGGAGTATAATAAAGTGAACGTATATGTGTCTACAAAATTCATCCAAATCTATTTTAAGAAAATGTCGTTACCCACTGATCTCGTTTAAACAAACAAAATAATAAAAAATATTCTTAATGGCGAGAGACTGGAAGGTAACTCAATATTCGCTAAAGGTTTTAGTAAAAAATATCAACTTTAATTATACCTATACACATACATTTTTATGTTTTTTCTCATGGACCCATACGGAATACGAACTACGGTTTGCCGTTCACTTCGGTCCTTTGATACTTTTTTGGCTTCTTTCCTGTCCATGAATGAATATGGTACTCAGATCATTTAAGTAGACAAGTCGAATAATTCGCATCTGGATTTTTTCAGTCCATAACTTTATGGAATTCACTTTATTTAACTTCGATAACCTTCATTATTTTGGACTCACACCAATCACTCATCACTCCACCTAAACACAATAGGATCCTGTTTTTGTTCCCGATTTTTTGCTCACAGTTCCATGTAATAGAATGTAAACATGTAGATACTTACATTACTAAATGAGTATTTATTTTGAGTAAAACTATTCAATCTCAAATACGTTATTATAGAGGTATTTTGGGCTATTTCGCCAGACTTCGTGTCATAACCCTAACCTCTAGCCTCGAATCTATCAATAAATTCGTAACGTTTATGAGACTGATATAAAAATGCAAATCATGTACATATTTTTGGATTGAACAATCCAATAGAAAGGATTGAAAAATGTTAAAATCTGACAAACATTCAAAGATCAAAGTTTATTTATGTAAAGGATAAAATTGTTATATAACATCATTAAGTAAATTGTTTTAAAATATTGTCTACCTCGTTAGTTGGGTTAGGAGTCGGGAGTTGTATAATAAATGAGTTAAGAAAAGGATTATCTGTAGGGTTTTTTAACAAATACATAGGAACAAGTTAACCGTTAAGAAGTGAATTATATTAATTATCTCTTGCCCTGCCCTCAACAAAATTAGAGATAAACCCTAAGCTACATACTATGCAGCAGCTACTAAAAAATCTCTCAACAGCAACTACTTTTGCTATCAGTTGATCATCGTCTCACGCAAATAATGGTCTATTGATAAAACCGTACATTGTACACTATAGGTGAAGCAATACACGAATACTTTGCTACAACCTCATTAGTTATCGTACCGAGAAAAAACAGAATTCCTTCAACAAACGTTTCTGAATCTTAATTATTTGTCATTAAGAGCTTTTGTCCTTACTTTGTATTATCTTAATAATTACAAACATATTGTAATTCTGTATTATTTCTGTGGCAAAAGTATATTTCACTTTTACTAGTTTCTGCCCGCGACTTCGTACGCAAAATCCCGTTTTCTCCCGATCCCGTTTTTTTTTCTTACACAAGACCTTCTCGTAATAATAACAAATACAAGAAAATCGGCATCGGCAATCGGAAAATGACGTATAAAAACGTATTCTATTTGTTTAAAAATCTTAAGAAGTTTACTTCAAGCTAGAGAAAATTCTCTCTTCAGAAACTTACTCTGCTCTGTTCAGTATCTACTTCACGTAATATATTTTCTACTTTTCTTCTTCAGGTTGCGTCCTAAAAGGCTAATAATTTAGTTCATAGCAGTTGAGATTCGTAACTCAACTTGAAAAGAAATTCTAGAACAATCTTCAACTACTATCTTTAAATGAAGTTATATAGAAGTTTTGCTTGTCGTGATGATGACAAAATGATATAAAAAAACAGAGACAAATAGGTTCCGCAGATAAATGTGTACTTTATCATGTCTCATCGTAAACAAAGAAAGTAACTTTGTGACAAATCTGTTTTATTTAACACTAGATATCCTAAATGTGTATTTATGGTCAACCTCATCGTATTGAATTGGCGCCTGGCTGGCTGGTTTGTTTGAAATAGTTCTTTATAGTAGCTATTAGGGTGCTGCTGTCGTTTATTTTTTTTTATTTTGTTTTTATGGCAAAAGCCGGTAAACGAACAGACGGATCACCTGATGGTAAGCAATCGGCGTCGCGGACATCCCGAACACCAGAGGCTAGTGCGTTACCGGCCTTTTGGGGATTAGGAGTTTGAGGATCGTTGGGGATTCAGGGATTGGGGAGATTGGGGAAGGGAAGGGTAATTGGGCCTCCAGTAACCTCACTGACACGACGAAAAACAACGTTGCTTCACATCGGTTATCACTCCGGTCGAGCCGGCCCATTCGTGCCGAAGCATGGCTGTTTTTCGAAAATCGGTCGTATTGTGTGTCACATAGTGAATTAGTCATAGTTTTTAAACAAAAACTATTTAGTATTTGTCGATTTGAAGTACACAGCAACGTAGGTAAAGTTATGCATTACGTGCCTAGATTATAATTTTCTTCAACATCAATGTAATGTCATTGTCAAAGTGAACAAGGTGAAGACACATTCTCTATTTATTTATACTTGACTTGAACGAACCACTTAGAAGAATACGTAATTAAGTTCCTATGTAACAGTGCTATGAATGGGTATTGTCGTAGCAAGATTCCTCATGTCTAAGAATGTGACATGACATGAATGTGAATGAATACAAAGAATATCACACATTTTGCAGTGACATTCTGACTTTATCTGTCTGAATAACATCGAATTTTCTTTCTTAAAAAAATCTAACCTAAAGGTTCTGAAAATTTAAGTCAGCGAGACACATATGTATATATACAAGATATAAGATGTGCTAGCAGTGGACCACTGGTTTAATGTAAGTAGGTAGATACTTACGAAGATAGGAATCTTCAATTTCGAAATATTTCGAAATTAATAAATTAAGTTAGCAGATTTATTTGAACCTAGTATCTTTTTAATTTTAGCGATGTATGTTCGTCACATAACTTTATCTCAGCATCGATCCATTTGGAAAGGGTAGGGAGAGAATGGCTCATCATTTTATTGCCCTTGCATTCCTCTTTTGTTTCGCCTACGTCGATTATGATCTATTCAACACAGGATTCAATCAAGGGTATGCCCATTCAATGTAGGAGTTCAACCATTATTATTATGTTAATATGCAATCCGCAAGTTTATTCTTAGAAACACAGAGTAGTAGATGCGTAAATATTATCTCATGCTGAATTGCACATCTTTCTCCGCCTTACGTGGTTGTTAAGCAAGTAACATTAGCCCGATCTACACAACCTGTACATTGTTCCAAGGTTAAATTGATCAACTAAGAGGGGTCCTCACGCACGCCTAGTTTCGTGTTATAGTAAAGCACCGAGCGATGGTAATGACTAATGAGTGCAAAACGTTTAGAATTGGGCGCTCCATGCGGCACGCAGCGGTGTCAGTAACCTCAAAAGCGCAGGCACTACTTACGTAACAAACACATCTCGCGTCCGCCAAAGACGTGCAATTGAAACTATGTATATGACAAAATCGCAACTATGGACACGCTAACGATATGTTACGATATACATATAATAAGCTATATTGTAAAATATAATATGAAGTAAATGACACTGACAAAGAGCCACTTTCACGTTGCAAAGTTCATGGCTAAAACTAAATAGCAAGAAAGTTTACGGATATGTTTTGTAGAAATAGTTAACAGTACTTTTGTAGAAAAGCATTCTTGTATAATATGGGAAAATTGAAGTGATTTTCCTCCAACATCTTGCCTCCATAAAAATCAAGAAGATTTCATGAGTACAAATATTAATTTAAGAGCGTATGACTAAGATTTACCAGTATTAACAGGTTGTGATCTCACTAAGGTTTACAGGTGGTTATAAAACATGTGATGAAATAGTTTTGAATGACTAATTTAACATTACGGTTTACCCAATGGCTTATAGTATCCCAGATATGAATGGTTGCTTATATATTATTACTCATATAGAATTAGAAGCGTGTTAAATAGTATCTGGAATTGCAATATTTATTATGCGATACAGCGAGTTCGATCAGAAATGGTTATTGGAAATCACATAATGGATTAACCTTATGTGCATCGAGCGCAAAAATGAACGGAAATGAAGCGCATCGCAGGCATGCCTGCGTCCACGCACACTCCCTCTTGTGCCCATTGCGCAAGTTGCCTTGATAACTGATAGTAACGTGTTGCTACACTGACAAGCGAAAACAACGCCTACAATTTATGTAACAGCTACTGGCAACACAAACGATGCCCCTTACACCATGGCTCTTAAAACAGTGCCGCTGACATGAAACACTTCTCAATTCTTTAGACAAATTCTATGCACATAGCAAAGGTGAAACTGGGCGTGGATGACGCGTTCGTCTTTTATAATATTTATTTTGTTGAAAAAGAAGTATGCAACTAGGACACGTATAAACAAATGTCATAAGGAAGCATTCAGTGTTATAAGTTGAGCAAATGACCATCTCACAACACTCGGATGAAAATGTATGCGAATGTTTATGAGTATGTGTTAATGATCAAGTAAGACTTAGGTGCAGTGTATTTACGTAGATCCTGTATCACATCATATCAACAGCCTATAAGTGGCCACTGCTGACTAAAGGTCTCTTCTGGAACATGGAAAAGGTTTGAGCATTAATCACCACGCTTGCTCAATGCGGGTTGGCAATTTCAAACTTATAATTTGAGTTTATAAGTCCAGGTTTTCTCTCGATGTTTTCCTTCACCGTTTGTCAGATCCTGTATAAGTAAAGGCAACCCATTCAAGAATTAGTCTTAAATGCTTACTATATAGTGATGTTTTTTATTACATAGTCCTTCAAGGACTTACCCTTGACATACAATAGAAGATGAAAAGTATTACACAAGAACATCACGTCACATAAACCGCCAATGCCTAGACTGTTGTTCACATCCTGTTCGTCAGTATCAGAGTATACTAAAATAAAAAAACTAATTACAATATTAACAATACTATTAGGTACTAGCAAGTAGCAGTATTAAGTAAAAAGTCATTTTCATAACTATTAAGGAAAAAAGAAAATATAAATAGTTTTTTCACAATAAATAGTTGCTAATTGTCTTTGATTTATTTGACGAATCAATGTGTTTTTGTTATCATTGAATGGTCGAATTAAGACACATTCGTGTGTTTTTTTATTATTAGTTACCTAATAGTATACTGTCATTTTGAATTATTATATTTTTAGTTTATTCAATGAAATCAGTAAATTTCAATTTAAATAATAAAATTCCAATGTCTTTACGTTACATTCATAAATTTACTAAATACTAATATAGTCATCTTATATTTTAATGAATTATTTACACAGCTATTTGTTTCTAATTTTATATTAATAAAATGAATGAATTAAATTATAGATTTGCAGTCAAAACAACAATTATAATATGCTTTGTTCGATAAAATTAACAGTTTGCTGTTTACAATTATTTATTATTTTACAATTTTTTTTTACAATTACTTTACTTACTAATTACAAATTTACAAATTTTTATTATAGTCTTGTTTACGATGTCTAATGTCAGCAACCTAAATTAGATTACATGTCTGATAAACATTTAAGTATAAAATTTAAATAGAATTGAATAATTATTATTTATAAAGACATTTATGTTGTTGTAACTATCAAATTAATGCTTAAAAGCAATCATATGAAGTCAGAGATTAGTTTGTATCATATATTATGATAACTTTTAAGCAATACTAATTAGGTTCCCACTACTTAACTCATATACATAGGTACCGGTAAATTGCAGTAAAACTTTCTTATTAAACAAATAATGTTATTAAATTAAGAAGTACATAATAATTATTATTTACATTTCTCAAAGTACGTATATAGGTTGGCATTGTGGGTACTCACTGACAATCAAACGCTACACAATAGTCAGATCATTAGAAAGCTTTTAGATCACATCTAACGAACCATAACAATCATAGGCATGAATGCATGAATGAGCATTATCATGACTTTGATATCGAATTTGAAAATCAAAAAATAGCAAGTACGTGTTTGATCGTGGCTGCACTGTATTGCAGCGGCAAGTTTGCTATGAAAGTGAGATGGCTCGCAGATCGCATAAGTGGCAGGGGTGCGGTATAAAAGTGAGCGTAGTACTACCACTCTGACATAGTTCACGACACTCCACGTGCCAATTCGCTGCTGCACGTCTACACACATAAACAACAATGAAACTGCTGGTAAGTGGAAACGTACTAACTATCCCTAATTTCTTCTTTCTTCAACCCTTTTATTTTATCAGTTCATAGTAAATGTAGTAGTTCAGTAATCTCCTTTCTCTGTAAGTGAAGTAATCATAAATACAGATGATTGTACTCATTATAATAATTGGAATATATTAGCATTACGTTAGTTTCAAAGTTCTGTGAAGGATTGGATGCAATCGTGTGCTGTGAGCGGCGGCACAGAATAGGGTCGGCAGATATGTCGACGATTGAACTTTGCCATTTAAATGTCTTCATCTTTAAATTCTTACATTTAATTATACTATTTATCGTTTATCGCGAGTGCAATCGGAACAAGTATTGTGACCTTAAGTAAAGGCTTTTGTTTGCTTTTAGTGCGCGAGTAACCGGAATATTTCTATAACTTATTTTTTCGCTTTTTAGTTTTAATTCTTGTGTTTTATTTCGTGTTAAAATTAATTATTATTTTAAAACTATGTATAGTGTATCAATGAAGCTTTCTTTGGTATACCTTTCCAAGTTCCACGAGGTCTGTCAGTTTCTGTGAATTAAATGCAGCTTCAATGACGTGTTTCTTTCTCTTTTCTTTCAAATATTTGTGTTAAATATTTTTAGTATATACCTACTCTATGAAATTATATTGGAAACATTTATCAGCTTACCTCTTTTTCATTCTATCAATACATAGTATAAAACAAAGTCGCTTTCGCTGTATGTCCGTATGTATGCTTAGATCTTTAAAACTACGAAACGGATTTTGATGCGGTTTTTTTTTAATAGATAGAGTGATTCTTATGGAAGGTTTGTATGTATAATACATGCATATTGCACCCGTGCGAAGCCGGGGCGGGTCGTTATGTATAAATTGAAAAAGAAGTGGTAGTATTTTAGAGTACAATTTTGTTATGCTCTCAATCATCTTACTTTTAAATTAGTTTAGTATAATATGCATTGACGTATAATCGCAATAATTGCCCTTGAACTTATTTGTCGCAGAAAGTGAGTGTAGCTAATGTGCAACTGTTGCTGCAAAGAGGTTGTCTACCTCTTTGAGGAAAGAAAATAATTCATGTATTAATTCAGTTACGATATTAGAGGTATTATCTAGCAGTGTTACACTAGTAGAACGTAATAAGTTATTTATTTGACTTATTTTATATATCAGTAAAATAAATGTACCTGAAAACGTAATTCGAATGATGGATGTGTATTCTAGTAGGTATTATTGTTTTACACAAGGAAAAGTCCAAACTTTTAAATACACGTAACTTAATAGTTAGGAATCTGGATTTCTCCGAAGAATTGAGAAAAGATTGAGATATTTGTAAGAGAGTCCTACAAATAACTACGATTTTTTAACAATTGTAATTCGAAACTAAGGAAAATGCCGATATTGAAATAATCAGTTAATTTTTAATGACAGTATTTAGTACGGAAGAATTATCAAACATTCAAAGTTATTCTTCATTAAAATTTACCTGGCGTTGGAAAAATCGGCCCTTAATATGACAGATTCAAAATCATAACTACATAAACACACAGAGATATGTACCTACCTAATAAAATCCTAACATAAAAATTACAATCGCTTCAGTTCGTAACAGCTTAGTTTTTCATCTGCGTGCGGTAATGTAACATCACGCAATCAAACGTAACATAAACTAGATATGATGGAAAGGGTCATTAGCATATGAACAAGAAACTATTACATTTCAATTGACAGTCGCAACCTCGTTCTAATGAACTTTCTGTTACACAAATGATCTTGTTCCATGTAAGTCCCTTATGTAACAATTTTCTAGGTCAATTTATTTACTAAATAAGTTAGGTCTTTTTAACTGTACACTAACCAAATGCCTATTTAATCAGTGTGCAGTCACTGGAAAAACGAAACAAGTTTAAAAAATTGTACGAAATCAACGCAATGTGTTACGTTGACTTCATATTTACGATTTATGTATACGAATGTTTTTCCACATCGGTAAAAAACCGATTGAGTCATAAACTTACTTGTCCATACTTATAAAGTTGTTTGACACAATGGAACAACTCGTGATTGGTGATTGTTACATGAAGATTGTTGGTGCTACTCTGTGATTATCTATTTGGATGTATATCTATAGCACCTACACATGTCTCAAATACAACGAAATGTTACACAACTTATAATAATACAAACAAATATTGGCACATCTGTCTACCAACATACGTCCCAAAGAGATAGAACGAGACATCTATGTTAACTACCGTCTATTTGCCTACCTTTTGTAATCAACCACGCATTATATAACGCACCAAACAAAAGATGCTCTTTGTTAACGCAGCATAACTAAAAGTAAGTTGATCTCAATAAAAACAATGCCATGCTTGTCGTCATGTAAGTGCCAATACATATTATGTTGGGGCCCACTTTCGCCCAACCTGCGTGTCGAATGAGCCGGTTTCACAAGACGCTGCCTATTGTATCTGTACCATCTTATCTTACGACATTCCGAATATGATTAAGCTCTTCTGTCTGACATCATCTCGTTATTCAATGTTACCTTAAAGTTCATGTATCGTCATCGGTTAACAAATTGGGAATTTATGGTTTCAGGTCGTATCTTGTGCTCTGCTGTCCCTTGCGACGGCTCTGCCGCAGAGGAGAGTGTCGCTGAAGCCTGATCAGCCGGAAGTAGATGACCAGCAGCCTGCTGAGCAGAACTACAACAACTACCAACAACCACAACCACAACCTGAGTACAGACAAGTCCAGCAGGAGTACAGAGCTAAGCCCATCGAAGACTTCAGGCCTAAGGTCCAACTGGAAACCACTACTTTTGTCCCCATCATCCGCTTCGATAAGGAGCAAGGCACTGACGGAAGCTACAAGACTGCGTAAGTATTATAATTTATGACTAGTATATCTCTTTACTAGACCACCAACTTGTAGCACTTACGCAAGATTTATTTAACATTTAGATATGAGCTTTATGTCTCGATTTCATGCTATCATTTAATTGCCAGCCATCACCATTAGCAATAACCATTACGATTCGTATTATCGTTATAGATGTCATAACATTTTTTTCTTCGAAATTAAACTCAAGTGTCAAACCTTGACCTCCCACTTTTACCATCTCGATGATTACACATTGCATTCATAAACTTAAGTAAACATGAATATATTACCTTTATTTACGTATTATTTATTGACTTCGTAGTGAAATAATTATTTTGGTGACCAATAATGGTTCTGTTAGTAATTTTTACTTTATGAATTTTCAGTTATGAAACCGGCAACAACATCCATGCTTCCGAAGAAGGTTTCTTGAGGGCTCTTGGTGAAGGCCAGAACGCTTTGGTCCAGCAAGGTTCCTACTCCTACACCGCTCCTGACGGTCAGATCATCACCGTTGACTACACCGCTGACGAGAACGGATTCAGAGTCAGTGGTGACCACATCCCTACCCCTCCTCCTGTCTCCCCCGAAATCCAGAAAGGTCTGGACTTGATCTACGCTGGAATTAAAGCCAATGCTGTAAGTTACATTACTATTTTCATTTACATAACCTGTTAATCTGGCCTTGACTATTATGCAAGAGAGATTTTCGAAATTGATAAAGTTGTGTTTCAGTATTTTTAGTAAGTTCGTCATTATTATGGCCAGTTAGATATAAAGTTGCACTAGTCGAAGACTTTCATTTTGATTTGTATTGGATACTTGGCCTATTTCAACAGATGACTTGATTATTTACTTTTACTTGAGAAACTGACATTTACTGGTACTATAGATGATTAAGAACTAGAAGAAAGTAGAATGCGTCGTAAATGAATTATAAGTAGGTCATATAAACGACTTATTGGTTGGTTTGTAACAATAAAAACCAGTGCCAAGATTATTCAGATTCATTTACCGTTTAAAAGGAAAATTTGTTAAAAAATAATAATGGTTAAAGAAAATACAGAATATTTATCTATTGAGAAAACAAGAAATTATGATAAAAAGAGTTTTATTGTAAGCTACAGTTTGGAACGAGCTATTAGTTTCACTAAAGATTTGGAGTTCAAACAAATCTTTGCTCCAAATGAAATAAATTATTTTGACTTTGACTATAAATATTATTGTTATTTTCCAGGAGCGTGCCGCCCTCGAAGCTAAGAACAACCCTGAGGCTGCCAGACAACAGCAAGACAGAGCCGCTCTTGACTACAAAGGCGAGTACTACCAGCAGTAAAGTGAATTAGTGATAAGAGTGTAAATACCGTGAACGTTCTCATGGCAGGACCTCCAAATGCCATATACTTTAAGACTAGAATCGCCTATCACCATCATGTCACATACAACCTTCAAGACTTTGTTATCCAATCATATAATAAACGACTCCATTCTTGGACTAAACGTGACCTATGATTGGATGATAAAATTCCCGTATGCAGTATTCATATGTGGTAATAGGCTTTAGTTTAGGATTAACCAATTGTTATTTTACAAGATAATTATAATACTCAATATGACGTGTAATTAAGATGAAGATAAGCAAGATACCTGGTCGATCCTTTTCATAAAGAACTCTTGATTTTTATATGAATAGTGTTTTATTAGTTTTGATGGAAGAAAAAGTATGTAAACGTCTATTTGACGTAAAAATCTGAAGCTTATATTAAGCTTAGGTCGAGTTTACTTATAGTACTTCTTAGTTTTATCAACGCTAATAAAACAAAGTTTCATCATCAACTTTTATTCATCACAAACATCAAGTGCGGGTAATATTCACAATTTTATGGAACTTACATTTATATAGACTTGAGAATACTAACAAACCACAGTCCAATAAAATCATGAGTATTATCCAAAAATCAATTTACTTTGTGATACAACTCCTTCCTGAAAAGTGTTCAATAGTTATAAACTTTTGTATATACCTTACCACTGTAATTAACTTATCTTTGTATGTTTGATTTTAAATAAAAATGTTGTAAAATAATGTTTTCTGTCACTACCCTAAGAAATTGTCTACCTTGATTGGAGTTCAACTGCGAACATCGTGTAAAATTGTGATAAAATGACATGTTACAGCTAACCATTATAGCTTCATTATCACTTTAATTAAAGAAACCCGCAAAATAACAAGCAGGAGTAATGATATCAATTGACTTTTTCTACAAAAAAAAACCATCGCTGAATTTTTTGCTTCTGGCATAGATGAATATTCATCTTTTGCTACACTTACCTATTACGTCCTCGGCAGTTAGTGCGCATAAAAAGTAAATCGTGTACATGATACCTATAATTCGATCAAGTAAAACTAATTTCATATAGAAAGTGTAGTAAAAAGAATTATACAATCGCAGGATACGAAGTTTATGTATTAGAACATTATATAAGCAGTCTGCGTTTGCGTTTGTACTTGTACCTACTCGTATTTAGCTGTCATTCAGTTACAGAATAGATTGAACCAGTTTTTACTCTAAGCTCAGTAATCAGATGTAAGATATAAGATCACTTTAAAAGTTTCATAACATGACAAAGCATTGAGTCTTTATATCACAGAATGTGATGATTATGATCACAAATTTTTCACCAGATGTTATGAGTCCCATTTAATATGAGTCAAAACCCTATTGCCCACAATAAGCACAACCAAAAAACTGATCTGAGAATTATATCCGAGACTCCTTGCTCGGCCGGCAGATGAAATTTCGAGTACTCGGAAAATGAGTCATTTGAATATTTCGTTGAATGTAACTCGTCAATCGTTCATATAAATTTTCAGACAATCAACAGAATGATTACCTTATTGATTTTGTAATTAAGTCACATAACATCACGCTTTTCATCTCCGACGGGGTAAGCAGAGGTGCACACTACGGCACTTAATATTCACTGTACAATGTAACACCACTTTTCACTATTTATGTTATGAGTCCCATGTAATAAGGGGTGAGCCTATTGCCATATATCGGGCATAATTCCAGTTTTTTACTATCACTAATTTTTCAACAGATGTTACGAGTCCCATTTAATATGGTGCAAGCCAGGTACAACCGGAAAGCTGATTTGGAAATTGAATCTGAAACCAATTGCTCGGCCGGCAGTCAATATAATTCGTCAATCGTTACATATTAGTTTTGTGACGATCAACAGTATGATTACCTTATCAATTTTTTAATTAAGTAGTAATGGATTACATTCTTACCTACTACTTAAATAACTGGTCTTACGTTTCTTCATTTTTATGCTTTCAGTGAGTTAACTCCTAATAATATTTTGTGCGTATTTTCATTTATAGTAAATGTTCAATGAATCGGATTATTAGATAAGTGACTAAAATGTTTCATCGTTAAGTTTACTCTGTTGAATTTGGGTAACAACTAATCAACGTGTTTAGCGGCAGGGCAAGTAATGCTACCACTAGCATTTGACTTTTTGTCATTTAATACATAGATTTTGTTCATATAAAAGTAGTCTCTAAAAATCGGAAATAAGGTCTCATCATCATCATCATCAACAGCCTATAAATGCCCACTGCTGAGCAAAGCCTCTTCTCACACGGAGAAGGTTAGAGCGTTAATCACCACGCTTGCTCAATGCGGGTTGGCGATTTCAAATTTATAATTAGAAATTATAAGTCCAGGTTTCCTCACGATGTTTTTTCTTCACCGTTTGTCAGTGGTGTCTAAATAATCTTAGAAAGTACATAGAACTCGGAAAAAGTCCCATTGGTACTTGCCGTTGGTAGGTTTCGAACCCGCACCCTCATGCATGAGAAGTGGACGTCTTAAACCTCCGGGCCACCACGACATATAAGGTCTATAATGGAGTTAGTGGAGAGCGGTCACCGGTGACCGCTTGGGGATTGAACAGTTCCAATTTAGCTGTACCGTAAAAGGCAGTACGTACATTGATTACAATAGTGTCAACATCCAAATATTTCGGTTCTTGTTTCCCCCCTCTAAATAGATGTCGAATTTTACAGTCCTTTGTGTTTATTTTATTAATATTATGTAGGTCAGATTAAATTTTACAGATACGATATTAATTACAGTACTTGACAGTCAGTTTATATAAAAGTTATAATCATAGTTACTTAATAAATATGACTTTACTATTATGCTCATATCATCAGCATTTTACTTAAATTATAATCAAAATATCTGCATTATTGAACATAAAATAAATTCAGAAGCTTAAAGTTGATTACTTTATATATTTTATTGATTTCATCAAATGCCACACGTAGAACTGGCTTCGCTGGGGTCAGTGCGTGTCGATGCGACGCATGTACTTATTTCACAACGAACCCTCGGTCTTTATCGGACATTAGCTTGTCTAGAGTATGACGGCGCTGTGTAATTCTAGTATGAACCCACGAACAGACAAATTAAACTTGATCAGTTTGCGCAAATACTTAATTAAAGCCCTGAATGCTAGAATTTATACGCGGAAGATGTACGATGCAAAGTTGTGGAGAAAATTTTAAGCAAATTACACGTTGATTTTGTAAGCAAATCTGGAAAGTTTATGCATGTTCGTGATGGATTAAGTAATGATAATTTTGAGCTTCGTAGTCATCGTACAAGAAAGCGTCGTAAAAAGTACTGAACGTGATAACTCAGTATGACACATTTTGGGTTACACTTTTGTTCAGTGAGAGTTCTGTAGACAGAATGAGATATACCTAATCTTATTCTAGATCAAGCAATTTTGTGAAGCAATGAGCAAAGGGTTTTTATATACGGTAGCGCAAACTACTTAAATATAACTCGAAGTACAGCTGCAACACAAAAGGCAACATCAACTAATACACCTACAACTTATTCTAAACTAAAAGACAATTAATTTGGTAATAACTTATGCATTAATTTTAGTGAAAAATATGAAATATTTTATCTTTATAACTATTTGCCCACCCAAGGCGATGATGTGCCTAATTTGAACGTGCAATGGGCATAATTTTATAAACTTATGGTCAACTCACCTTTGCATTTGATGCTCTTTAAAGCCATTACATTAGATTTATAATTATTATACACAATTTCAATTACTAAACAAGTTTTGCACTCTGTGATGAAAAATTTGTTTGGCTATTTTGGAGTCTTTGAAATCAAAATAGGTTCAAAAGTTGATATAAACTATATAGGATTACATAAGAAAAAAATTATAAATAGCAGGTTTAAGTTAAAAATTAAATTACTTCAAACACAGATTTGTCATATAACAGGTATGTTAAAAGCCCGGATAACCATTGTTTTCTTTCTGCAGACACCGAGGAATGGCCTGCAGCATTCCATAAATACATTGGTAATTGGAGGTCTTTGTCCAGCAGTGGACGTATTTCGGCAGTTAATGATGAAAATGATGATGATGACTTCATCTAAAACACAACATGAGTGATAATTTAACTCTGAAAAGATGGGTGTATGCAAGGTGTTGTTTTAAAGCCGCGTCATTTTCTAGGAGGTAACTCGGCTATGGATTCTGAGTCCGAATCAATAAAAAAAATTGTAGGTAAATATTTTTCATTTTTCTGTAAATTACTAAAATCCGTACATTGCTGTCGCTTATTCTGAAATATTGTCGAACTTAAACGATTTATTATAGCCGTATTTTTAACTATTGGCCCAAAATTTTCTCTTACATTGAACCTTTATGACTTCTGTGACATACCCCCGAAAAATGACTTCTGCATGTCAATCAAGTGGTAAGCTGTCTTGCAATTATGAGCAATTGATAATAATTAAAACCTTACAATTCCTACAAATTTTGTTGTCTGACTTGTAGCAAGAAATGAGTAGAATGAGTAGAAACAAGCAATGAGACCGTTTATTAATTTTTATCTTATTCTTTAACTGAATACTTACATTATGATTCCAAAATCAGTCATAACTGCAATAGCCAGGATCATACTTGTTCATTTTATATAGTAAAATTATAGTAAGTACTTGTTTGATCAAGTGAGTAATAAATGAAATGTATAGATACAGGTTTGATCTTGTACCCTCTATGTTACTGTCAACGAGATATCTGTTTCCCACTGAATTTCTCACTAAAACTTACCTAAGAGATATTACGCAGCGCAGTTTTTCATACAAGCTTAAAAGTTAAATTCCATAAATACATAAATAAATAAAGAAATTTTAAATTAAACTGTCAAACACCAAGCGGTCACCGGTGACCGCAACCTATTGTTCTATAATTGTGTCTATAATGACGGTACTCGACGAGTTAAACGAAACCCATACGCAGTATATCAAGTATGACAAGTATGACATGACAAGACTGCCTCGTTGGCCAATTGGTCGCAATTGCGACTACCGGGCAAGGGTTCTCGGGTTCGATTCCCGGGTCGGGCAAAGTATTAATAGGTTTTTTAAAAAAAATCTCAGTAGTAGCACGGAGTCTCGAAATGTGCCCGGTATATGGCAATAGGCTGACCCTCTATTACATGGGACTCATAACATAAAAAGTGGAAAGTGGGTGTTTCTTGTGTGTGCACCTCTGCCTACCCCTTCGGGGATAAAAATGCGTGATGTTATGTTATATTATGTTATGATAAAATACATTTATTTTTAGCGAATAATTACTTTGACATGGTTGTAGGTAAGATTTTGAGATAGGTATTAAAAATTTGTCTTTCTATCTTTCTTTTTAGAAGGAAAGACTATTGTCTCTAAAATGTTTTAAGTAACTGTTAAGATCTTGATAAAGGTACTATTTATTTTGAACATAGGTCAAAAGTTTCATTCAAATTGACTTATTCTTTTCCATGAATTAAGGCTTCTAAGTTTGTATGAAAAAGGCCGCGTAAAGCTTTTAAATGTCCCCTATTTATGTGTCGCAATTAACGAGTTAAACATTTAAATACTTACCTGACATCTTTATAAATCACATTTTCGTAAGGGTCAGAAGTCTCACCCCCATCCAAGGCTGCCTAGGCTGTATACTTTAATAAACATGTCAGATAAATGTCAATAACGTTTCCTT